TGTGTTACATGTTTGAAAACTTCAAGTTAGTTAAATACAATCTTCACTTATGAAATCCATGCTGACTCCTCTTAATTAACCCACATTGTCCATGTATTGTTTCTAGAAGTTTACCCAGCACCAAACTTAAATTGATTGGTCTGTGATTACTACACTTATCTTTACTATCTTTTGGGAATAAAAGTTGTAATGTTTGCAATTTCCAGTCTTCTGGCACCACCCAAATCTAAACAAGACTGAAAAATACTGGTTTGTGCAATTTCCACTCACACTTCCTTCAGTATCTTTTGATGCATCTCATTCAGATTCAGTGTCTATCAACTAAACAGACATAGTTTATCTAATACCACACTACCTTCATCAATTTTGAACTCTTCTCGTGACTGATTTTCCTCCTTTATCACCATGGCTTGGTAATGCCTGCTTCCTTGGTAAAGAGAGAGGCAAAAAAACCTCAACTGTTGCCCCAGGCTTCCGTATGTAATTTTTAAAAAATCTCAAATCGGGCTTACTCCTCTTAACAACTCTTTTCCTACTTATGTGCTTATAGAAGACTTTGGGATTCACTTTTATGTTAGCTGTCAGTCTCTTTACGTAATTCTTCTTTGCTTCTCTTAGTTGCTTTTTTTTTAAACTTCTCTGCTGAATTCAGCTTGCTTCCAATTATATTTTTTGGTTTACACTTAATGACCAAACTTTTTCTCGCAGATTTCCTTCTCCTTAGTCATCCAGGGAACTCCAGGTTTGTTTGCTGTACTTTTCTCTTTTGAGGGACTTTCTTGGTAATTCCTGAGACATCTCTTCCTTGCAAGTGGCCCATTGTTCAGCAACAATTTTTGGCTCCATCAAGTCCACTTCTACTTAAATATTCTTTCTCTGAATTGTTCATTGATCTTTTCCACTGTCATCCTCAACCTTATGACACAATGATCACCGTTCTCCAAATGTTTTCCCATTGATACTTAATCCACTGCATTAACAAGCTTCCTTTTTAATTAGACTTGATATATGTTGTGGAGAATTCTCCTCAACACAGTTTAAGAATGCTTGTCCCCTTTGCTCTTTACACTACTATTATCCCTGTTTGCATTTGGTTAATTAAAATCTTCTATTATAACAACTTTATAAATGTTTGCAATTCTGATTTCCTAACAGATTTTTTTTCCCTCCCACACCCTTTCCATGAACTGGTGATGCATAGGCTACACTGAACAATGTAATTACACCCTTAGCTCTAGCCAGATTGATTCTATCCTTGAGCCCTCTGCAGCATTTCTCTAGCATTGCAGTGCTCTTCATAACTGATACTGCCACTCCTTTTTTTTCCCCATTCCTAACCTTTCCTTTCTTGACCCAGAAATATTTAACATCTGGTCATGCCCTTCCTTGAGGCAGGTCTCTGTTATAGCATATCATAATAATTCCACACGGCCTGTGCCTGTTACTCTCTTCATATTTACTGTACTCCATGCATGCATACACAAGTATAGTAAACAAATATCAAAATGTGGATGCTGGAAATTTGAAACAAAAACAGATGGAGAAAACAGCAGGTCTCGTATCATCTATGGATAAAAAGCAGAGTAAATGTTTCGTGTCCATTGATCCTTCTTCAGAACAGGAAAATAAAGAAATAGCAGAGGAACAGAATAGATACCTTGCATCAGTTTTCACAGTGGAAGACACCAGCAGCATACCGAAACCTTGAGAGTCAGGGGGCAGAGGTGAACATAGTGACCATCACCAAGAAGGTGCTGGGGTAGTGAAAGGTCGATAAATCACCCAGACCAAATGAACTGCACCCTGAAGTTGTGAAGGAGATAGCCGAGGAGATTGTCTAGGCTTTGGTGGTGATCTTCCAGGAGTCAGGTAGGGTCCCGGAGGACTGTAAAATGGCTAATGTAACATTACTGTTTAAGGAGACAGGGAGACAAAAGAAAGGAAACAATAGGCCTGTTAGCTTGACCTCAGTCATTGGAAAAATATTAGAATCCATTATTAAGGATGAGATTACGGAGTACTTGGAAGTGCATGGTAAAATAGGGCCAAGTCAGCACAGCTTCGTCAAGTGGAGGTCATGCCTGACAACTCTGTTGGAATTCTTTGAGGAGTTAATGAACAAGCTAGACAAAGGAGAGCTAGTGGACATGATCTGTTTGGATTTCCAGAAGGCCTTTGACAAAATGCTGCACAGGAAGCTACTAAATTAGATAAGAGCCCAGGTACTGACATAGACCTAGGATTAGCTGCCTGGCAGAAGGCAGACAGTAGAGATAGAGGGTTCTATTTTTGGATGCTGACTGGTGAAGTTCCAGGGCGGTCTGTGTTGGGACCATAACTATTCACATTATATGTTAACGTTCTGGACGAAGGAATTGAGGGCATCTTTGCTAAGTTTGAAGGTGACAAAAAGATAGGTGGAGGGACAGATATTGTTGAGGATGTGGGGAGGCTGCAGAAGGACTTGGACAGGCTAGGAAAGTGACAGATGGAATACAATGTGAGAATGTGAGAGGTTATGCACTTTGGTTGGAAGAATAGAGATGTAGACCATTTTCTAAATGGGGAAAGGCTTCAGAAATCAAGCACCAAAGAACTCAAGATTAACATGCAGGTTCACTTGGCAGTTACAAAGGCAATACAATGTTAGCATTCATTTTAAGAAGGCTAGATACAAGAGCAGAAATGTACCGCTGAGGCTGTATAAGTCTCTGGTCAGACTGCATTTGTAATACTGAGAGCAATTTTGGGCCCCGTATCCAAGGAGGGATGTACTGGCCTTGGAGGAGGTTCAGAAGAGATTTATAAGAATGATCCTGGGGATGAAGGGCTTGTTATGAGGAGCAGCTGAGTTTCTGGGTGCATATTCGATGGAGTTTGTAAGGAGGAGCAGGGATCTGATTGAAACTTGTAGAATACCGAGAAGCCTGGATAAAGCAGACATGGAGATGTTTCCATTAGTAGGAGAGACTAAGACCTGAGGGCACAGCCTCAGAATGAAGGGACGACCCTGGAGGAATTTCTTCAACCTGAAGGTGGTTCATTTGTGGAACTTATTACCACAGAGGGCTATGGAAGCCAAATCATTGAGTGTTTTTAAGACATTAGATAGATAGGTTCTTGATTGGTAAGGGGATCAAGAGTTATGGGGAGAAGGCAGAAGAATGGGCTTGAGAAACATATCAGTCATGATTAAATGCTAGATCGGCCTCAATAGGTCAACTAGACTAATTCTGCTCCTATATCTTATGGTTTTGTAGTCTAACAGCACATATATAGTAACCCTGCTTTAGAATGTTTCAGTTTCTCACTGATTCTAATTCCACCTATTAAATTACTGTTTTCTATTCTAAGGCTACCTGTGTCTTCCCCTATTTTCTGCACCCGAGTATTGCTCTAACACATTTTCTTGCTTCTCGGACCTCTGCTGAGTTAAAATCTTCCAAACACCACTAGAAAAATGGCTCATAAGAATTTGAAATCTAATCCCCCCCCGCCCACCACACTAAATTTCTAGCCACACATTCACCTGTCTTATCCAATTTCTATACTGAATTGGAAGCAGCACATCCAGAGATTACTGTTTTTGATGTCCTGATGTTACTTTAGCTTCCTAAATTCTGACTGCACTGCCACAACTGCTTCTTCCTTATGTCACTGGTATCACAATCTCTGATCATCCTGCCTCAGAAGAATGTCCTACAGCTGCTCTGTGACATTCTTGACCCTCCGATCAGGAAGATAACATATCATCCTGAAGTCATGTCTATGGCTGCAGAAATATGTCTCTAATCCAATAATTAATTAACCCTCTATCATTACTCCTCTTTCACTCTTCTTCCCTGCATCCTGTACAGTTGAGCACCCACAATATGATAACTCTTGTTGCACTCCTTTGAAGAACTATTACACCCACCCCCGCCCCCATATCAATATCCAGGGTGGAACCCCAATTAGTGAGTAAAATCATGTCAGGGGACCCATTCCTTACTTACCTACATGCCCCTAACTTGCAGTGCCACCACGTTCCTAAACGTGCTTCCTATCTGCCTTATATGCAACAGAGTCATTCCAGCTGCTATTGGAGCTCAGAAACCTTGAACTCATTTTTGTGCAGCCACTGACACTTGCTCATCTAGGTTGTGTTCATGACTCCTTATATGCCATAAGATGGGAATTCCGTGTGATTTAGCCACCATGCCACATCTTATGCATACCTTTGGACAAACTAGATTATAATAGAAATTAGAAGTACCCACCAGTCAACTCCTTCACCAATGTCTATAAATTGGATTTTTAATGGCAAGAACAACCAATTGCTACAGGGTAAAAATGTTTTTTTTTAGAAAATGCTAAAAAGAGCACATCCTTCTCTTCCTCACCTAATTCCTAGCACTTTAGTTAAATGTTAAATACATACAAGTTTATATTTTCAGAAAGAGATCAAAATTTGCTCAACTCACTAAACTCCTTGTACTCCAGTCAATGTTTTCCAAAACTAAAGAGTTACTTGATCCCATTACAGAAAAAAAAAATTCAAATTAGCTTCTTTAATTAACTAACTACAACTGTTCCATAGTGAATAGTTTGTATACCACTTCTGAGGTTCCCGGCCCCTGAATTTAAACAGCAACCTTCCATTAAATGTTAAAAGTTAAATATAAGTAAATTTAGATTCTTAGAAAGAGATCAAGATTCTCTCATTCTAAACTCTGATGATTGGAAAGAAACGATATTGTGAGATATATGGCAATTGACATGCATGGCAAAAAGAATTTTAAAAATATTGTTGTTAGAGTTTTAAAATTCAGCAGAGTAGGTTTGATGGGCCAAATTACTAACTTTATTTCTACATTCTTCCCAAACCTTCCACTGTGTCATATTACAGAGTTAATTAAAAATACTAATTATTCCAGTCACTTGATATAAAATTCCACTTGCTGTCATCCAAATACACAAAGAAAGAAATTCCACTAACTCTTTTTTTTTTCTTTTGGCAGGACATTTTGCACAGACATCCACTTTATTTGATAGTGCGAATGATCTGTTATGATGATGGTTTAGGAATGGGAAAAAGTCTCCTTGCTCTAAAAACGACTGATGCAAATCAGAATGAATATAGTATCTGCGTGTATCAGTGCAATAGCTTGGTGAGAAATGAATCTTTCTTTAATTTTATATTTGATTGTATAACCTCATTTTAAAGAGTAGTTTGGAACTTCAACTATTTGATCAATACAGAACCACATGGTTCATTTGCCGCTAACAGGTAAAAATTATTGATATACCATATTCATTGGACAGGTGACTAAAATGTGTGATTTGAAATTAGGGAAATCAACCAGAAATGACCTTGATGTGTCAAAAATCTATGAGAGAGGTTCCTGTAAGGGTCAGTTTAATACTAAATGCTTTTGCATTTACTTACTGTCCACAACTGTCTCCCAACCTGAATAGCAATCATGGACAGTCCCTAAAAGATTCTATACAGTATGGAAGTTAACTTTATCCTGACATTACACCTTAGACTTTAACTTCTAACCATTTCATATCACCATCCTTCTTGATCTCTACTTACGGTAAGTTATCAGTCTCTAGCCATTATGGAATCTGAATTCCCATTATGCTCGTTCACATGCACATTGTTATTGCTGTTTCAACCTGGAATCTGATGTCTTTGGTGTTTTTTATGCCCTCTTTCTCTCTTCCAAATAGGCCACGTGTCATTTCTCCCCATTTATTATTAGTTTTACACCCACCTGCTACCTCCTCTAAGTCAGTATCAACCCAAGTAGTAGTGTCACTGTCTTCCTAGTTTGGGCTTCACCATGCCTTGGACAATGAAAGCATAGTTAGTATCTCTATATTTTCTGATGAACCAATTGAGGCACTTATTGCTGCCTCCTCATAAGAAGCAACCCCGATGGTCCAGACCCTCTTACCCAGAGCATCAAGTAGGATGCTAACTTCCATATGTTCTTCCAACTCACACTGCTCACAAATCAAAAGTAATGAGCCTCTTTTCAACATTTTACCATAGAAAGTCAAAATAGGGCACTTCCTAACCATAATTTTACTGTGCGTTGAAGTGACATTCTGCCTTTAATTGTAACTTATATACTGTTTGGAACACACTAATTATAGAGGGTTCACAGGGGCCAGGTCACACTTTGTTCTACTCACTTATTCCTTTGGGATCTATTTTACTGTCTCACTTCCTCTTAACATTTTCAATCAACGCTCCATCGCTTTATCAAACAAGAGAATGTTGGCAAAACTCAGCAGGTCTGGCAGCATCTGTGAAGAAAGAAAAACAGAGTCTGATGCTACAGTATTCTCTGTTTGTTTGGAGATTTACATGATTCTCCTTTGATCCATATCCTTATGCTGCATGTTACCTTAGCCTCTGTATATGACAACTGATCCTGTTGATTTTGTTTATCTTGGTTTTCTTTGTCCTATGTTATGAATTCACTCTCCTCCTTTTCTATTTCCTAATTAAGATAATGAAGTTAAGGTTGGGTTGATAAAGGTATTTTGAGAAACTTTGTGAATTAATCCACCCTAGCTCTGTCAAGCATGAAGCTAAAGACCGAGGACGCCAGAGATACTGGTTTGGGAGTAGAAAGTGAAGTCATCATTGGCCATTTTTTAACCATGATTGGCTAAGCAAGAGTCAAACCCAGTGAATGCACTGCCTCTGAGCTGGACAATGTTGTAATCAACTCTAGTTAAGACTTCAAAAGAGGTTGAAGAGTGCAAGTGCACTAATTATTGAAGATTTTCTGATGTTGATATGACTGTGCTGTGGCAGAGGAATTTGAGTGTCCTTATAACACAGACACAGTAGACAATTAAAAGTCAAATGTGATGTTGGACACTATTGCAAGGGGAGTTACAGTTCAAGAATAACAAAATCCTGCTGCTACTGTGTTGGACTTTGAGAGCACATCGAGGGTACAGTCAATAGTTTTGGTTTCTATTCCTAAGAAAAAGAGTATACTTGCTTTGCAGATGCCACAGATTTTCACTAGTTTGATTCCTGGGAAGAGAGTCCTGATGTTTTCTGGAGTTTTGAAGAAGGAAATGTGATTTAATGCAGGATTCAGCTCCACAGGAGAAATGCTGTCCTGCTTGGCTATTTTGGACAGAAGTGAGGAAAAGTTCCTCGATTCAGAGGGCTGTGAAACGTTTGTATTCTATGTCCCAGAGGACTCTGGATCAACATTTGACGATATTCAATACTGGGGTAAAAAGATTTTAACTGGAAGAAATCAATGGGATATGGAGATCAGGCAGGAAATTAAGAGTTGAGATCATGGTCGATTTGCAATCCAATCTATCGCCAATTTAGGATAACTGGACCACAAGAACAACTACTGCTCCTGTTTATTGTTATTTATGATCATCGTTTGGGTACCAAAGTCATAGCAGAATGACTGAAGCTAATGTTTAGTGCTGATATTTAATTCCATTTCCAATTTGAAATGTACTTCAGTTTTGGTAAAATCACAATTAACATTGTAACATTATTTTGTAATAGACTCTAGTTCAGCTGAGAATAATGGGCCAACCAGTGAAAATCTAAGTATGTGATAATTCCAATCATTTCCAGATTTCATAACAGATATAAAAGAAATCTCGTCTCAATAACAAATAAAATTATCAGACCAGCAAAAATGCATTGTAATTGAGTAATCTAATCCTTCTGTTTTGCAGGAACAAGCTCAAACAATCTGCAAAGTTCTATCTACTGCTTTTGATTCAGCACTTTCCTCAGAGAAATCCTGACAGCTATTCTCAACAATAAATCTGGTAACTCAATGTGGATTCATTGGTTATTTACCTTGTTTAACTGCCTTCATCTACTATTGTTGCCTTAGATTTGTGAACTAACGTAAAGAGTTACAAATTCTTAAGTTTGAAGATGTCTGCATTTCAATATTTTCAGTAAATTGAGAAATATTGGTCTGTTAGTACTGTGCAGGTTTACAGTTCTATAGAAGTCTGTTGTTATACATCACTTTCAATTATTGTCAATCATTACCATACCTCCTTGGAGCAGCCTATGGTTTACTGCAGGATTTATAACAAAGGTTTCAGAAAATGAAAATAATCAAGTGAAATATATAAACCTGTAGCAATCATGAAGCATTTCTTTGTATAGAGGTATTTCTTAAATGTCAGACTGGTAGTTAATAACTTTGATTTTTACACTGTATAATGCTCAGTGTATTTACCTCTTCACTAACAATAACAATGTAAATGAACAAGTCTTGATGATGATATATGTTCAAGCCAAATATATTTAACGAATAGTGTGTAGGTCAGTACACTTTGTAAACACCGTTGTAATTCTTGGCCTTTCAAATTAGCAATGCAATGAAGTAACATCCTTTTATTTATACAAATAAAAGAAATATGGACAGTTCATTTTTTACTTGTACGCTATTATTTTTCCCTATGTTATTACTTCCCATTAATATCATTCCGAGGTTGTCGAGTCAGAGTCATACAACATGGAAACAGACCCTGCGGTCCAACCAGTACATGCTGACCACAGTCCCAAACTAAACTAGTCCCAGCTGTCTGCATTTGGCCCATATCCCTCCAAACATTATTTATTCATGTACTTACCCAAATGTCTTTTAAATCTTGTAACTGCACTCGCATCCACCACTTCCTCTGGGAAGTTCATTCCACACACAAACCACTGTTTAAAAAAAATGCCGCATTTGTCTTTTTTTATTTAAAACTTTCTCCTCTCATCTTAAAAATATGACTCCTAGTCATGAAATCCCCCACCCTCTAATGGTTAGGATTTGGCACTCTGCCGCAGCCTGGGTTCGATTCCTGGTTGGCATGGATGAGTTGTACCGAAGGGTCTGTTTCCGTGCTGTATATCTCTATGACTCTAGGGAAGCGACACCTGCAATTCACCCTATCTATACCTCTCATGATTTTATAAATCTCTATAAATGTCAGCCCTCAACCGCCTACACTCCAGTGAAAAATGACCTGGCTTTTCCAGCCTCTCCTTATAACTCAAACTCTCCATTCCTGGAAAAGCTCTTCTGAACCCTCTCCAGCTTAATAATATCCTTCCTATAAAAGGGTAACCAGAACCGGACACAGGACTTTGGTGAGGCCTCTTCTAAAGTCCTGTTCACCTCAACATAACGTCCCAACTCCTTTACTCAAAGGTCTGAGCAATGATGGCAAATATGCTAAACGCCTTCTTAACCACCTTGTCTACATGTGATGCAAACTTCAAAGAATTATGTGCCTGAACCCATAGGTGCCTCTGTTCTACAACACTACCCAAGGCCGTTCTTTTAATTGTACAAGTCCTACCCTTGTTTGTTTTACCAAAATGCAATACCTTGCATTTATCCAAATTAAACACCATCTACCATTCTTCAGCCCATTGAGCCAACTGATCAAGATCTCTTTGTGATCTTTGATAACTTTCTTCACTGTCCACTATACCACACATTTTGGGGTCATCCCGCAAACTTACTAACCATGCCTTCTATATTCTCATCTAAATCAATTATATAAATGACTTACAAGAGTGGACCCAGCACCGATCCCTTTGGGACACCCCTGGTGACAGGCCTCCAGTCCAAGAAGCAAACTTCCACCACCCCACCCCACCCCACCCCGTCTCCTACCATCAAGCTAATTTTTTTTATCCAATTGGCAAGCTCACCCTGAACCCCACATGATCTAACTTTGCTCATTAGTGTACCATGCGAAACCTGTCTATCGCTCTGCCCTCATCAATCTTCTTGGTTAAAATGGTGATAAAATGCTTTGGAGAACCTTTCATCAAACAAAATATACATTGCTTTTGCATGATTATAGAAGGGACAAATTCTTTGTCTAAATGAAACGTTATTTATATTATGACCCACTATCGTCTTAGCCAATTAATATGGTAATTTCCTTGTAAGAGCCAGTTTCAATTCCCATCAATGCCGAGTTTGCAGATGTACTCCAACTGACTATTAAGGAGGAAGAATCAAAGAAGGGATTAAAGAAGTCTAATTGTTACCTAATAACCCCTGGTGTAGATATCAGTTGAGAATGCCAATTGTGGTGGCCACTGGTTAAATAACTATGAACAATGTCATGGCTCACATAAAAGGAATGAATCACCTACTAGAATATATTTAGTGATAAGGAAACTTTGCCCCAGAAATGTCTGTCTTCATGGTGGGAAAAAAATTGAGAGAAAAAGAAAGATTTGGCAATTATGTTTTTGTCTTTACAATTCGTTAAATAATGTAGACAAGTGAACTGTGACTTCTAATATTTGCAAAAATTAAAAGTCAAATTGTAGAGAATTATTGGGTTCGATGTTAAAAACTAAGTGATATCATGTGACATTGAAAATAAACCAGCAGCCACTGATTTCAGAACAACTCGTATTTTATCTCAAACGCACCAAATAACAAAAAAAAATCTCATACAAACTATTATTCCCAGCCCAAAAACCTTTATTGACTTTATTTACTATAAAATTCAGCACGTGCGATGTATTAAATTTTGCTGGTTTATTTTAACCTAGAGATAGAAAACTTTGTGGAAGTATTTGAAATTCAATGGTACTTTATTATTAGAGGCTGAATTTTTGTAGAACAAGATTGAGAAAAAACATGCTGGTAGTGATCATCTGGTGGGATTCTACTTATTTCTTCCTGTTTTCCTCATTTGGGTTATGTTAGTTCTTTAAACTGATGCCATTTCAAATTGCAGTACATTTAAAAAATATTTCATAACTTTATTTAACTAACTTCAAAATTTATATAGTCTGGACTTGGTGCTATAAAACAGCTGAATAGTAGAGGAATTTTCATGGGCAAGTAAGTGGATAACTTTACATGCATCTCACAAATTTAAATTTTAATAGAATGGAATTGATCTATATGAAATCTACTGATTCTCAAAATGATTGTTAACAATTGTAGCAACCTTTATGCAAAGAATGGATATTTAAATACACATTTATGAACTTCAGATTTTGTACAGTATTTCATCAGATGCTCACTATTCCTTCACAAACAGTGAAATCATTAGGCCTCACCTTCAAAATCTGTACAGATGACCTGCATTGAAGCAGGCTTTGCTTTAATAATTGTTTATTACATTTCTGGATGAACTCCAATGTTAAACTGGGATATACAATACATTACACATGCTAATTGTCAAATCGATGCAATGAAATGCAAAAGAATTATAGGATTTAACATTTACAATATATCTATATATACAGTTGCTCTGCAACAATCATCTAGCTTGTCATATTTGTATCCATTTTACATCATGTCTCAATCAGGATTTCTTTCTGCTCCAAATACTCCTCAGATGATGACAGTAGGTGGCACCAGTTATCCTGCCTAGAGATTTTTATGGTCCTTTTAACAAATAATAGTAAGCAGTAATCATGAATGATGTCAACATCTTCAGTATTAATTCACATTAGATACAAGAATTAGTTCTGTTTTAGACAATAATCACAGCCAAATTTAGTTAAATGAGGGGTTATAAATTTAAAATTTACCACTAACCCAAAATATTTTTCAAATTTTTCATTCCTATGCATTAGAAGCTAGACTGACACTTCTTATGAACGAACTTGACCACTTCTGTAACAAATTCAAAACTCTAAAAGACTAGCTTTCTAATAACAGGCCAATAATATCATTGCAAAAAAGCATTTGAGATGAAGTTGACTACAAATGATTTGTACTAAATGTTACCATTTTTCATTTATTTTTCTTGATGAACAATTTTAAAATTTTGTTTTTAGTAAAAAGAATCAACATCAATTCTATGCAGAACTTTAAAAAATAACAAAGTCTGCAAATTTTTGGAAACTGATTTAGCTATTTAAACCCTATACTGGTTAAACTGTTCGATGCAAAAAAAACAGAGACAATAAGAAATGCAAAGAGGACCCCCTAATAACCATATGTGAATTCCTGTCACCAACTGTCTCTTTTGGTAAACAGCACTGGGATACGAGTACTGTTCATTAGCTGCCTTTTGAAATTATTATTTACAATACTACGGCCTTGTGTTCAAGAATGAAGTTGGAAAAATTTAACTTGCAATGGGAATTACAGCAATAAAATAACGGTAAATCTGGAAACAGTGGTGCTATTTTAGATTCATAGTAATATTTTAAGGCCTTAAGAAAGTTATGAAGTTCAGCATGCTTAGTAAATTCAATACCTGATTTATGGAATCTATATCATAGCATTGATCACTACTAGTGTTCTCCAGCTTTGCTCCATTGTTAATGCTACATTTATGCAATATATTGTGATTTTCAGTATGTTTTTCACAGGTACTGAAATAACATTGTCACTGTTCATGAACAATTAGCATTCTTTTCATTCCCAAGTACCTACATGCACCACTGCAAATTAACAGACTTGAGTCCATTTATAACTAATCTCCAGTTGTACTAAAAGTGCAAATAGTTCAATGAATATATATTTAAAACTAGTTACTTATAACATCCTCCAGTTAAGAAGTGATTTGTCTATTGAGCTAAACACAGATGTTTTTCTTGTCATTTGATGGTATGGTACCATGCTCCAAATTGTTTCTCTTCAACGTCCTAAAGGATGCTCAATCAGAAATGAAGTGCACAAATGTCACAGGGAATACACCCCTTCGCTTCGGGTCTCCTTCAATGTGACCAATCTACAAAAAAAATCAAATCATTCAATTTATTCAAATAAGTGCACAGGATAAGAACTGCTTTTGTTCTTTCATTGAACAATAGAATACCAGGGAGTAACTATCAAGTTTATAATCTAATTAAGAAATAATATTGGCAAACTTATAGTGAAGTTCTTGATATGCATTCAAAATGTGCATTTGTGAGCTTGTTTTGAGCAGCATTATTCAATTTTAATTTAATAGCCCAACCGCAAACGCACTTCAAATCCATGGTACAGGTTTCTTAGCAGTGTATGTGCACTTGGTATCGTTGTTTTTGTTAAAGAACCTGTATGAAAGGTTAGTTCAATGCACACTGTAGAATAATACAATACAAATAAATCTAATTATGCAAGTATTACATGTGCCCAATGACTTGCAATATCTATGATTTGATTTAAGCTTTATTGTCATATGTACTCATGTACAAAAGTACAAGAGTACAGTGAAAAGTGTACAATGCTGCCACCCACAGCGCTTTTTTAGGTATTAAAAGTACCTAAGTACAAAACTTGGTTACAAGTTGTAACACAGAGAAACAAAGTTAAGAGTAAAGCATTAGTGTTGTTCTTAGTATAAGCAGGAAAATAAAGAAATAAAATGAAATGTTAACATTATTTTTCAACTTAATACTAGGAAGAACTGTAAAGTAATAAAGATAAATGTTCAACAGTTTTTTCTTAAGTACACTTCCCGCAAGGGCTCAGTCTCCTCCATTTTGACCTGCTGTCTGGAAAACCTCGGGCTTCCTGCTCTTGATGCCGCAGATGCCAGGGGACATCACTGACTGACACTTTGGGCTCATTCTGACCATGTTGGGCTCAGGCCCACAGCGGACCGCCAGCCGACATTAGTCCTCAACATACAGATTGTAAAGTATTACATTATGAGAGATCATAACTTTTTTTTTTCATCCAAGTCATCTGTCTTCAGTTCCTCTACTTGCTCAAAGTATCTTCAATCAATATGGTAAGATTATCTTCCATTTCTTTTGAAGTTAAATGATATCATCCAACTTAATGGAATTCAAACATAGTAGAAAAGACTCAATTCCATTCCCCTAAGGTATTTGAATACTTTTGGCAGATAACTGATTTAACAATGCATCACCTGATCTAGCAGGACCACATATAGCATCATTGGGTTCAGCTCTCCTGACAAAGTTGTTCACTATCTCAAGATCAGATTGAAATACAAAAGTAACTATAGTTTCTTTTCTACAATACAAACCATCTTCTTAAAACACTGTTCCCTGCCTTCTCCATCCTCACCTCCCACATGGGTAAGGAGTTCCAAGATTCCTTTGTCATTTAAATTGAGAACAGATATTTTGCTGCTTTCCCCCTTGTCTGCTAAGCAAGAAACTTTCCCTATGGATAACCTCTTCCCATGCACTGAATTTGGCATTTCCTTGTTGAGTTTTTTTCATCTCATCAGATGCCTTCTGAGCTCATCTAATTCCAGCAAACTGTCAACCATCCAACTTCCCTTTCTGGCCTCCATATTAGCTGACATGTTAATCATGCACTCCCTTGGGCACTCATGATAATTTGATCTCCTGAAGTGAAAGTGAGACTGATGTTTTACTTTGTAATTACCTGCAGATTGTGGTATATCAACCTCTGAAGCCTCCAAATATACTTCCAAAAACAGGAAGTTTACTTACACAGCAAAGATTGAATTTAAACTGCCTGTGGCTGATCAACACTTTGAGACATAAAATAATGATAATTCATGAATAAATATCTCAAGGTTTACTGACTGAGTTAATTGCATAAAGACAGCTTATCCATGACAACAGTGTGTTAAAGCATCAAATTTATTGCCTTCAGCTTCTGATGCAAAGAGTTCATTAAGCTTACACTAAGTCAATTTGGCTACGACACCATCGTAAGGATCTCGCTTTGAATCAGATGTGAAACTTTCAGAATCACCTCACCATAATAAATCATCATCCTCAACCATCCAATGAATTAAATATTCCACATTTTAACAATCTGGAGATACTTTGTGCACCAATAACATCCCATGATTTGATCTGCTTTTTGTTCACTCATGGGATTAGGTTTTTGGGGCGGGGGGGAAGGGGGCGGGCGGGCGATGCTAGCATTCATTGTTTGTCCCTAGTTGTCCTCAAGAAGGTGGTGGAGATCTGGCTTTTTGAACTGCTGAAGTCGATGCCCTTAGGGAGGGAATTCCAGGATTTGACCCAATGACAGTGAAGGAATGGTGATATATTTCCAAGTCAGGATGGTGAGTGGTTTGGAGGGAAACTTGCAGATGGTGATGTTTCCGTGTATCTGCAGCCCTTGTCCTTCTAGATGGAACTGGTTGTGGATTTGGAAGATGCTGTCTTTGATGAATTTCTGCAGTGCATACTGCAGATATGCATACTGCTGTTACTGAGTGTCGGTGGTGGAGGGAGTGGATGTGGTGTCAATCAAGCAGGCTACTTTGTCCTGGATGGTGTCAAGCTTCGAGTGTTGTTAGTGCTGTACCTCCAGTGTGTATTCCATCACACTCCTGACTTGTGCCCTGTAAATGGTAGACAGGTTCTGGGGAGTCAGGACGTGAGTTACTCATTGCAGTATTACTAACCTCTGACCTGCTATGAAACCACACAAAACATCAAGTATTTCAGCATGCTCATTTCCACTTGTGAAGGGTATCATTTCTCCATCAATAATTCACATATTTGACTTGACACAAGCCTTGTTGAAGCATGCATCCAGAAGTTGGACTATGGCTGTTAAACCTCCTGGTAAACTGCAATATAGGTGTAATTTCTTTGCAGATGTATCTTGATCTCATTGGTTACGCAAGACTGAATTCTTCCAGACACTAAATGACACAGGCAATGCTGAGTCAGTTTGGAGAATATTGAGAGATGTGGAAAATGAGATTCTCACATTGATAAAAAGTCATCGAATTTTACACCCAAGTACTGATCTCAACTCATTAACATGCAGTTTCCTATTCTCCCACGCACCCAAGAGAAACTAGATAAAGACAATTCATAACACGAAAGGCATCCATCTCATCACCTGCTTCTCAGGGTCTCTGTATTAGACAGGAGTCTGCAACATCTCCAGGTGCAGTGACTACCTGCATCCCCATTCATGAAGGTCAGATTCGGACATGCGCCAGCCTAATAGTACATCTCTGTCTCACTTAGAATACAATTCTCCTCTTCAATGCTGAAGTTCAAGGGCACAGTGCCTTACATTGTGTTGTCAGGCCACTTTGCAAGAAGGGACAAGCATCCATCTGATGGACTGGACCAGAGTATATCTCAGTGCTCACCCACTGTGCACCTGCTTAGATGCTCACAGCATCTGTGCCTTGCCTTGACTGGACTCATATCTTATATCTCATGTAATTTATATCTTCACAGTCCTTATATCTTGCCTTGTCTTTTTGCACAGACACAAAGCCAAGCTACTATCAAGGTTCAAAAACAGAGAATGCTTGTGAAATTCAGCAGGTCTAGCAGTATGTGCGGAGAAAAAGCAGAGTTAACATTTCATGTCTGCTGACTCTTCATCAGAACGGAAAGCAGCTAGTAAAAAGTGGTACTTATGCTGGAGATGGAGGGGGCTGAGGGTGGAGAGACGCGAGCAGACAAGTGGAGATGGAGCCCAGAGAAACAGAGAGAGAGAACGAACTTCTCATGATTGCCAGTAGTGATCAGTTAGGAGGACTGATAGGTTTCTGTACAGCACTGTGCTACATCAATGTTGCACCAACAGCAATGGACAGCATATTATGTGGCAAAACACATTCATGCTTCAACTGAACAGTCATTCTCAAATTAAAAGGAAAGTAGACCTCGTTCATAGATAGAGTACTGTTATTGACACAGTAAATCAAGGACCATTGTCCAATCTCAGTCCAAGGGCTTGGAGATAGTGCTGCTTGCAGTGTCCAGGGTCAGAGGTCCACATCATTACAATCCGGGAATTAGTTGTAGGTCAGTTAGGGGGTAAGTGATGTACTCACTCATTGGTTGGGCTATCTTTCCAGATCACTTACATGGGGGAGAGCATATTCACTGAAAGTCAAGGGGAAGGTATCAGGGGCCACTGTTGTGATGGGGACACTGGGGAAGTCAATTATGGAGACGGGAGACAGCATACTGAGATGCAGAGAAAATAATAAAAGTGAAATGATGCAATTCAACATGAGGCAGGAGGCAACAGAGGGCGCAGGAGGGGTTATCATCAATGCTCAACACCACCCTGGTTTCCATGGGACACATTGCATGACTATGTTTAACATTACTAAGCTGTATGCGTCAGGCCCAGGGGGGTTAAGTGGGGAAGGTGAGCCATTAAATAAACAGGTTGGGTGGGAATGTGGGTAAAATCAAAGCTGATGGGGTTGACAGGGAGGACAAGGCAAAAAGGAACATGAAGGTAAGTGGGACGGTGGGGTGGATGGTAGAGAAAGAAGGGGGCAGCTAGACAGAGGCTGAGCCTGTGACTCACTCTGCAAATGTACTACCTGTGCAGGCTTCCATCCTCATCCAAATCAAAATGGAAATAGCTGTCACCAAAGTGGGTGAAGTGTCTTTTTTCTCACTTTGAAGGACAGGATTCCACTTTAGTAGCAGTGTGAGGCTCTTCAAAGGGCAACAGCATTAAACTAGCACACATAGTATAAGTGAAAAAAAAATTATCATATGGTTATGTAGGTGACCTCTTGCACTGATCTATGTCTGGACTGAAAATCTGGCCACAAACATGCTTAACCACATGATTCAACATGACAAATTAATCCTACTAATGGCTGTGAAGCACATGTAATATGTGGTTTGGAATGATTCACCTTAGCTGCCGAACTAGCAACCACCTTTTGAGTGGAGGATGGAAGTAAGAATGCAGTAATGTAAGGGACAAAGACTGTTCTCTGCAGCTTTGAGCATAAATCCCAAAGGCTCTGTTGTGTACATAGTATCAAAGTTACGAACATTTCTTCAGGTTGGAGATGAACTTGGAATATGAGGAGAGAAATCCAGTTGTTGTTGTCCACATTGCTACCAATGATACTGACAGGACTAGAAAGGAGTTTCTGCTGTAAGAATTTGAACAGTTAGTAATTAAATTAAAAAGCAGAACCTCCAAGGTAATAATCTCAGGATTATCTGAGCCATGGGCAAATTAAATAGTGTAAACCAAGTCAAGGAATTAAACGCGTGACTCAAAGATTGGTGTGGCTGGAATATAAAAAAGGCTTTTAATTCATGGGGTACTGGTACTGGGGCAGAGGGAGGTCTTCCTGTCAAATTGGCTTCGCTTGAACTGTACTGGGAGCAGCATCCTAGCAAATTGAATAACCATGGCTGTAAAGAAGGCTTTAAGCTAAACAGGGTTGGGGAGAGTTCTGGAAAGGGGAACACAGGCTTACAAAATGAAAGGATGTGGCAACATTGCAGGGCACCTGTTTAAGTAATGATACTCATTGTGGAAGAGGAAGGGGCAGTGTGTACTAGCAGAGAAAAACTGAAAGTGGGGTCATGAGGGAAAATATGGTAAAAAGAAAATCTTGGCTCCTTAAATGCATGTGGTACTAGAACAAATTAATTAACACCATAAATAGCAGTAAATAGATACGATGTTGTAGCCGTTATGGAGACATGATTACAAGAAGATCAAAGCTGGGAACTAAATATTCAGGGTTTATGTGATCTTCTGAAACGACAAGTGGGAAGAAGGGGGTGGTGGCATAGCTTTGTCAGTACTAGAATAGAATAAGTGCAATAGAAAGGAGGGATTTCGATTTGAAATTGCAACCCTGTATCAGTGGAGATAAGAAATAACAAAGAGAGGAAGACACTGGCAAGTGTAGTCTATAGTGACCTAACAGTATATATAATCTGACAGACAATAAATCAGGAGATAGTGAGAGCATATGAAAAAGACTTTAATCCTCATGTAGGTTGGAAAAATCAAAATCAGTAGAGATAGCCACGAAGACAATTCCGTGTAGTGTGTTCGGACAACTATTTTGGATTTGGTAATGGGTAATGAGGCTGGTTTAATAAATGACTTCAAAGCAAAAGATCTCCTCACAAACAGTGACAATAACATGGTAGAATTTAGTATTCAGTTTGTGGGGGAGAAACCTGAATCAGAAAAGACTGTGCTATACCTAAAATAAAGGAAGAGGGCAGAGTTGGTTGAAGTGGACTAGGAAAGGAGTTCAGTAGAAAAGACGGTTGAGGAACAATGGCAAACGTTAAAAAAAGTGCATGACCCCTCACAAAAATATATCCCAGTGAGAAAGATTTCTAGGAAGGGGATAAACCACCAATTAGATTAAATTGAAAGAAGAAAAAAATGTGACAAAGATTAATGGTCAGTCAGAGGACTGGGAAAGGTTCAAAAACCAAAAATGACAAAAAAAGAATAAAAAGGGAGAAAATAAACAGTGAGAGTAAATGAGCAAGTAAAATATCAAAACAACTGCAAGAACTTTAAACATATAAATAGGAAGGAACAGACCAAATTATACATAGAATCCTCAGAGAATGAGGGTGGGAAAATAATACTGGGGAACTAGGAAATGGCAGATGGGTTGAATAAATATTTTGCATCAATCTTCACAATAGAAAATACTAATAGCATGCCAAAAAATATTAAATGATCAAGGGGAAAAAAAGAGAAGGATGGGCATCAAACTGACCCAGGTGGCAACTTCAGATCAAGTTGGCAGGGTGCTGTGGCCTCCTCTGAGGAAAGAGGGTGGCCTTCCTCTTCAACATCCCATCCACCAGAAATTCCAGTCCCTATCAGTATATCATGATGCCAACTTACTATCTGCAGGTAGTTTGCAAGGCCCTGTGACTGGAGAGCAGTTCCTGGCTGGCAGCACTTGACCTAGTGCACACCAGGGATTTAAATATGGCACTGGTGGCAGGAATCCAGAAAGTCCTGGCATTGCTGAATATTTCTGCTGCTGGTGAATGGGAGGTAGTGCAAGTGTGGCACCGCAGAGGCATACACTGAAGCAAGCAGCAGAACTATGTGGAAAATGAGAATCAGGGAGAAAAACCCTCCATTAAAATGCCCAAAACTATCATATAGCTGATCTCTGGTAAAATTAAACCCTTGGAATCTGAATATGTCCCACATCAATAAGCTGTGTAGTTTACGTAGACCACCAGAAATGCATAGGTCATATACTATTGATCCATAACTTCGCCCTATTCCCAAGAACATGCACAGAACCTCCTGTAGGGAACTTTATGCTCAGAACGGTTTAACATTTGAAAATTACCATAGGTTTTAATTTTATTCCATAGGCTAGTACCACATTGAATCTCATCTTTTCATGTCCTAATATTTTCACACATCTGTTGAGCCATTTCTCTTCAATGTTTGAAATTTATGGTGTTTCATCCATGTGGCCAACACAACCTCATGGGTACTTGTGTTTTTGCTATTTTCTGATGATGAGTCTCAGAAAAACAGTAATTTTGTCGTTGAAGTCTTTTGATTGTTCAGAAACAATTTTCATCTTCTGCCAGAACACAAGACTGTTTTGTTCCATCAAACAGCTACACATACTAACAGCAGATCTGAAATATTCACTGGGCTCAAAGTTTGGTTTGGCTCACTAATGAGCATATACACGCAGTGCATTTCTGGTGACAGTCAAATGGTGTTGAGGACTCATTCTAATATGTGCTTCTCAAGATCAGGTCAGTATCTGGCCCCTGTTCTGATGGCATTTTTGGTTTTGAGCACGTCTTCAGGGTAGTTTCCTTCTTCCATTCTCGCACCAGTTTTTCAAGAATACTGAACTCCTCTCTCTAGCACAATCTTTTGATGAATTAGCAAATGCAACCCCTTTGAAATCATTTTATTGGAAGACTATTTGTTCATCATTGTTTGATTTGTGTGGGTGTGTTGTAAACTCACACACATCACCTTTGCAATACAGTCTGTATATTTTTCTTGATCCCCCTGCACTGATGTATAGTTTAAGGCAAGTAAATCATGATTTCCCCAAGTGAGAAATTGAAGCCAACTACAAATGCAAGAATAGCATAGCATCCCACAGCTGTCGTGTGCCTGTGTGGTGGTGTGCGCGTATGGGGTGGAGTAGCTCATTTGCTACATATATGGAAATGCATGATTTTTGGTATAGAAAAAATGATGGCTTATCTTCTTTGTCAGGTCGACATATGTTGAAATCTATGTTATTTGACAAATTGATATTTTGATGGAAAAGTACAGAATTAAATTTAGATCTGACATGTTTGCTCATATCAGTTAGAAAGTGATTTTATGATTCCTCAACATAATTTTCACTATGTTATCAAAATTATGCATATCAACTTACCCACCATTCCGGATCTTCCTCACCATCGACAATAATAATCTCACCCTCTGAGAAAGTAAGTTCGTCGGGGTTGTCTGCACTGCAATTATAAATTGCTTTCACACGTCTTGGTTTTGCCTTCAACTAAAATAACAAAAAAAGTTAAGTTTCACGGAACAACACAGACCATAAATACAGGTAGAACTGTAAATGTTCCAATCGACTGAACAGATGATGACTTTAAAAAATCCCATATTTCTTTAAGGTTTGACTATCTTAAAGCAAACACTCATGTCTGTACACAAGCAAAATAATAATTAATTGTTTGACTCAAAAATGGCCTGTGCAAAACTTAATATTTGGAATACCCACCATTATTGAAGAGAGTTTGCTGTCTAGCATACAACATTTACAGATAAACAATATCAACCAACTCCCCATTGATAATGCAGCTGAATGAATTTACTCACTCAATTGCCATCTGTTCTGACTGAGCCTGTTTGTTTCAGTCACCTTCTATGACAAAGACGGTCTTAAATGTTTTTTTCTACAGTATAATTTGTATTGATTTAATTTGCACTCACACTGAAGGGTGGTACTTCCGAGACTTTGTATAAGCCTATATTTAAAATTACGCTTTCCACTTGAAATTTTCTTCTACTAATAAATAGATCTTTCAATTGTCAGTGGTGGCTTTTAATCAAGATTTCAAGTAGCTTACAGCATACTGAAACACTAAAAATCTTCATTATGGACTCTATGGGTTGAATGAGGCGAGAAATGAGATGGAAGACAAAATTGACATGTATGTGCACACTTCAAGAACTTAAACAAAATAATGAGAACTGTTTTACAAATCATTCCATCTTTCACAGAGAAATATAGTGATAAATTACTAAAGTAGCTGAAGTTCTAATTGTGCTTCTTTTTAAGAGTAAGTTTGAGTAGAATGAAACCAAAAATCTTTGAAATCTTTAAGAATCCAAGAAAACTTTTGCTTTTAGTGGTTGTCCAATATGTCGTACCATTTGAGACTTTCGTGGCATTGGTGCAGGAGCTTTGCTGAGATTCATTGAATTAGGTGTGTGCCCTGGTTTTTTTGGTGCCGCATCTGGCCCCACGAAAGCATCTCCTATTGGGGTGTGAACAAACAGCAAGTCTCAGTGAAATGCTGAACAATAATTCTGAATATGATTGAAACAATGTTAAATTTTCTTATCAAGCTTTCGAGCGAGAGTTGACAACAAACTTGTAATTAAATAGCACTTTTCACCATTTCAAGATCCCAAAATGTTTCATGTAATTTTTGCAGTGTAGTCAGTTTCAGATACAGTAGGATAATGTGTCAGTTTGCACATAGAATAATCCAACAAACAGGAATTAGTACAAGATGATCTGTCTTGCTGGTATTGGTTGAGGATAAAATGTTGGCCAAGATACTGGAAGAACTTCCCTGATGTTCTGACTAATGCCAAGATGATCATTTAGAGGATCTTAGATGGCTCAATGTCTCACTCAAATTATAATACTGCACATTGCAGGACTCTGATGGTACTGCATGAAGTATCAACCTATGAAGAGTCTATGGAGTGCAAACTGAACCGTGACGTCTGACTCAGAAATGAGAGTGCTATGACTAAGTTAAATACAGCAAACATTTTATTAACCGGCACCTCTGAGACCTGGGTTATATCAGTTGATCAAGAGGTCCGCATAATCAATGTCAAAACACACACTAAGTAATTGAAATGTAATGCAGTGGGTATGCTCATCATTGTTATATTCTGTTTACAGCATAAATCACTTAAACAACTTTGCCTTAAATAAAACTTACTGGCAGAGAGCCTTCTCACTCGCACCCTCAACTGACTATTCAGACATCACAGAGAATGCGATAATTCAGTAAACTTCCAGTATTTCTTCCCCAACTGAGGATTGCCCAGCACCGTTGACGACTGGAGCCTCAACCAGGTCTGACCCATCTCCTGCACTACCGCCCTCAGCATTCTCTTCCGTCTTGCAACAGCGATAGGGATTCCCTTGTCCTTGCCATTCCACCAGCATCCACATCCAAAAGATCATCAGCCGCCATTTCCGTCACCTCCAGCAAGATGCCACCATCAGACACATTCTCTCTCTTCCCTTGTCCGCCTTCCGCAGGGACCATTACCTCTGGGACACCTGGTCCACTCTTCCTTTACTCCCAACACTACTCCCCACCCCCCACAGTCCCACAGCATCTTCCCCTGCAACCACCAAAGGTGCAACAACTATACATTTACCCTCTCCCTCCCCAGTATCTAAGGGGCCAAACATGTGTTTGGAGTGTGCTGTAAAATGGAGCCTTGGGTAAGTTACTACAGCGCATCATATAGATGGTACACACTGATGCCGATGTGTATCAGTGGTGGATGCGATCAGCTTTGTCCTGGACTGTACTAAACTTCCAGTATGTGCTCCCAGGCGAATGGAGAGTATTCCATTACACTCCTGACTTGAACTACACAGCTGGTAGGCATTGTAGAAGGGGAGGGGAGTTACTCAACACAGAATTCCACCCTGACTGTTCATGAAGCCAACTGTTTAGATGGCTGGTCTACTTCAGTCTCTGCTCAATGGTAATCCCTAGAATGTTGATAGTGCGGGATTCAGCAATGATAATACCACTGAACAAGTGTTGACGGCTAGATTCTCGCTTGTTTGGGATGGTTATTATCTGGCACTTGTATGGCATTAAACGTTATTTGTCATTTATTAGCCCAAGCCTGGGTGCTCTCAAGGTCTTGTTGCATATGGACATGACCGCTTCAGTATCTGAGGTGTCATAAATGGTTGCACAATGTTCAGCTCCATCTGTGAACATCCTCACCTCTGACCTTATATTGGAGGGTCAATAATGAAGCAGTTGAAGATACTTGGGCTTAGGATACTGTGCTAAGGATCTTTTGCTGTGAGGTCCTGGGGCTGAGAAAATTGAAGGAGCTGGAAACTTCCAAATCTTTTTATATCACACCAGATTAATGGTGCTATCTAACTTAAAGCTTTCTCAAAAACACAAGTATTTCCACGATAAGAATTATATTATCATATATTATAATTTTTCACACATCTATTTGCAAGTTTTTTCAAGTTGAACAAAAAAATCCCAATATTTTGTTTAGAAATGAGTTTCACTGAGGAGGTAAACAAAAAAAGTAAACTTAGTTTACTTGTCATGAGCTAATCAGCTGGGCACAAAAGGTGAACAAAACTGAGGCATAGAGATATTCTCTAATCAAAGGGACTATGGATAACGAAAAATACAGGAATATAGAATGCCAGCATTTGTTGCACATTCATAATAATTGTCCTTGAACTGAGTGGTATGCTAGGCCATTTCAGAAGCAATTAGAACATTACTGTGGGCCTGGAGTTGGCAGGTTGGATAAGGATGGTGTATTTCCTTTCCTAATGGGCATGTGTGAACCAGATGGGCTTTTTCTGAAATTTGATGATGTTAATGTCACCATCATTGAAACTAGCTTTCAATTCCGATTTTTATTAGTTAAATGTAAATTCCATCAACTGCTGTGGTGGGATCTGAATTCATGTTCCCAGAACATTAATTAGCCTGGTCCTGGATTACAAGCTCTGTGACATTATCACTATGCCACTATCTCCTCAAACTACTGATTAAATATTTACTCACCTGATGGCAGTGATTGCACAGATCCAGGTACCATGGATGTTCTTTTAACTGTAGATGTTCGATCAGAACTGTGAACAGGTGATAATGAAAATTAGTGTAATAACTTATTCTATTATAGTTACCCTCTGCAATTATTTTGAATCAATTCTCCTCAATCATTTCACTTTAATCAGTTTTATTCAAGCAAAGGAAGTGGGGAGCTTAGACAATGAAGATAGCTAGACTTTGTTGAAATTCACTGAACAAAAAAAAATTATATAGAACAAATAGACTATGAGTGAGAACTAATTAAATTCACTACAACTGAGAAGTCAAATATAAATTCTTCCATCTTTCACTACAGATTTCCACTTTTAGTTTTCATATACTTTTGTGCCGCAATTGCGGTGACGATTCTTGATCGTTATGAGAGAAAAAGTGTATTAGAAGATGGGAGAAGGCACAGAATTTGATATTGATAAACACATTTCTAGTTCAAACCAAGAATGAAACAATGAAGAAGTTCACATGGAGGTCACAAGATACTTTATATAATGAGGAAGACCACTTATCTGCTGCAGCCAACAAATCTGGACAAATCCATAATCCATCACGCAGCTCTCAAATATAATCACAGCTCTTGACACCGTAATCCAGCCATAATGTCAATGGGTGCAAAACAAACAGCTTCAGCAACATGTCTCTCTTTTCAGCCATCCTTATGATCTGCACTACCAGGGACTTTTTGTATACCTGATATAGATTATAGATCCAAACTACAGATTAAAAAAAAAATCTATTACCTGGCTATTGATTTCTGCTGTGAAATGCGTAATGGCGGCTGTGGTGGCAGTGGTGGTGGTAATGTTTTTTTATTTTGAACAATTTGCTGCGGAGGACCTTGCTGCTGTTGCTGGGCTGGTGGTTGTTTCACCTGCAGACTCATTGCTTCAATAACACTGCTTGTCTTTGCTACTGGAGTTGGTGGTGAAGGGTCTGAAAGATAAAAATAATTTGAAAGCAAAATAAAATCTAGGAAAATAATCCTCATCCCCACCTATTAGCATAACGTCCTAAAAATAGTTAAAATGGTTAAAAATATATTCCAAGCTAGCCTGAGGTCGTACAACTTCTCATTTTACATACCAATTATCTGGTGCAGTCCAGATCAAAGAGGTAAGAGGGTATTAGCAAGGATGAAGACCTAATTCAAAAGATTTACATGGTGACAATATATTTATTTTTAATAATTTCATAAGCAGTGAAATCCAGTAAGGTCAGGAATGATGAAGCAAGTGACGCATAAGCCAAAAAAAAAATGCAAGATTCATCTTTCCAACCATGACAAATATCATCAGGATATGAAAATTAAAGAACAAAAATCTTACTTTTTAAATAATAAATTGGACAGCAATTGTCACATACTAGCTGATATAGAATAATTTGACAGAATACCAATACCATTACTTGGTATTGAGGGACATAGATTTAAAAATCAGCTGACATTTATACACTGGCCGTACCTTTGACATGTTCAGGTACCTTGCCTGAAATGTTAACTCTGTTCTTCTCTCTCCAGAGAATGATAAATGTGCTACTTGCAGAATTTTCTGTTTTTATATAATTTTGTGTGTTTTTTTTTAATGATTGCTAAAGCTGCCAGTGAGATGCTCAGTCCAAAGCTAATTGTGGTTAAGACATTACTATATTTTTTTGAAAAATAACTGTGTTCAGAGCAGTATCTTCACAAGTGCATAAAACTTTATTTTGTAAATGTGCCAGCCTTTGTGCTTTTGGAGAAAATAACCTACATTTCATGCTGGAGTGGTTGCCTCTTTAAGAAAGAGTTTACTCTGAAAGAAGGTTCCTTGTAAAAAGCAGATGGCGATAAGCAGTTGATCCTGTGGCAAAACTGCTCAGTAGGTGTACAACAGGGAAAGATGTATTAACCAAATCTCAACAGGGATAGTGAGTCCCTGGGTGCAGTTCTATAGTTTACAGGTTGGGAGTTAAAACAGCTGCCTAAAGAAGGCCACTTTTGAGCAGGATTTTAAAGTTCTGTGCACAGGCTAAATATGTATCAACCTTTTGTTTTTAGTCCTTCAGCCAACAAATGAATTGAACTTCTTTGGATTACCAAGCAAAGAGAAACACAGAAGAGTTTTAGTTACAGGACACCAGAGTTAAATAATAATAAAACAGGAGAGATCTGACCCAAGGTAGCTACACTCAAGATGCTAACAACACCTGTGTAGAATGGGGATATACAACCTTGAAATGGCCAGAGGAGAGTTGAAATAAGTTCCTTGCGAATGGCCCAAGAAATCTCAACCGTTATCCAAATCTTTGAAACAGTATTCAGACCAGGTGGTTAATCTTCCAATTTTTGGTGAGTATCTGACTAAGGTTTATTTGGGATACAAATCAAAATGGGTGAAAGGGGAGATTTGGATTAAGAAGGATGGTTTTAAGTAGAAGCATCTATGTTCCCTCTACTTTAAAAATATTTAATAATTTAAGGAAGAGTACAGTTATTTGCATTCACGCCCTCTGACTTTTGTAATGTAAAATTCTTTCAGTTTAAGTTGTAAACTTTGTGGCTCATTCTTTTAATATACAGTTGTTTTTTTTTTAAGATTTCCAAAAAAAGAATGAACACACACAATACTGCCTTCTACAAATATTATAAGGAAGCAGCTACCAGCATACTGTACATATTTGTCTGCAGTTGATCATTTCACATACTTAATGCTTCTGTTTAAAATAAAATCCAGTGATAAAATCAATTTCTTCCTACTCAGCTTTCATTTCTACAGAATAGCAGACTATCAAATTCAAGACTAATCAAATATGTTTGTATGATGTTGGATCACATTATCAGTAGCAATAGCATAATTAAACACGTGGGGAACTCATGTTAATTAAACACATTGTTTTAGTTCATATATAGGTATTGACAAAGACAGAAGTTAATCAAAATATTAGAGATGAATAACCAGACACATACTTGCTGTTGCTGATGTTACTCGGACTGGAGGTACAGGTGGATGAAGGTTTGGTGGGTCTGAAGCAGACCGCTGCCTGCTTGTTGTATCCATTCCAAATGATGCAGGTTTCCAAACACCAGACGAAGTCGTAGTTGGAACACCAGGAACTGAACATTGGACTAAGGTCAAAAAGCAGATAAATTACTCGCACACTGTGTTACACATCAACCTTAGCTTTAAAATTTTATGTACTGTTAATTTCACCATGTAAGGACTGTAGGTTTTTTTTTTTATTTTCAGGTTATTAAAGACCGGGGACTGAAATGTGGAAAAAAATCCTGTCTAAAAAACGTGCTCAAAAGAGTGGCTGCTCTTTTGAAAGTAAGTAACCTGATCAACTGTTTGAAAAAGCAACAACTGAAGTTCAAATTGCATACAATCCGAAAGCATACTGATGCAGCTCTTACTGACAAGTTGATTGATCCGTGAACTAGTGACAGTTGTCAATAACAGAAACTTTTTGCTTGCCAACTGTGAGATTGGTTATTGGGTGGCTGAATATCTTGGAACTGGAAACAAGGGCAGCAAAAAATAAGTGTGCAGATCTTCTCTCAGCCCAGAGGCTGCCTGCTCTCTGTAATCATAAGGCTAAATCAGGCTAAATCTGAAAAAAAAACAATTACCTTCCTGCAGCAGTTACAGTAAGCTGTGACTTTTGAATTGATAACAAGAGTCTGTTATTCTGTGCTTCTTACAAACCAAACCAATGCAGCTACCAGAGGTCTGGCCAGTTGAAGGATCATCTCAATATCGGAACAAGAAAGCAAAAACCACTAAACCGACTTTTCAGTTCTCTATCGGCGCCAATTATCTGTTTTCCTTAAACTAAAAACACCAAAGAACTGTGGGTGCTGGAAATCAAAAACAGAAACAGAAAATGCTGGAAAAACTCAGCAGGTCAAGCAACATCTAGAGAGAAAGCAGAGTTAACATCTGAACTGAAGGAGGGTTACTGGAGCCAAAACGTTAAGTCTACTTTCTCTCCACAGATGCTGCCAGACCTGCTGGGTTCTGCCAGAAATTTTTGTTTTTGTATTTTCGCTATTCATTTGTCTTTGTATGGGGGCGTTTATAAGGGTTTTGGAGTTTTAGCTAATGATGTTGCATGCCAATTATTTGTATCTGTTTACCTGTAGCAATAGTCTAATTACTTGAAATGAATAATTCTGTTTAGTACAGAAGCTTGGCCTGTGATTTCGATCAACCTTAGTTTTGATGTCGGGTAGGCTGGGATTCTGCGTGCAGCTTTTAAAAAAAATCTTTGATATTTGGTGTGGCTCCAGAAATAGCAGGTAACGCAAACAGTAGTGTACTGATGATGGGGATCTTCAACTATCCGAATATAGGGTGGGACAGTGATGGTGTAAAGGGCAGAGAGGGGCAAAATTCCTAGTTTGTGTTTAGAAAAAAATTTCTATAGTAGTAAGTGCCCGATTCAACAAGAAAGGATGACTATTGGTCCTAGTTCCTGGAAACAAAGTGGGCCGAGTAGATAAAGTGTCAGTGGAGGATAATTGTATCATAATGTTTAGGATGACAACAGAAAGGACAACAATCAACTGAGTAAGAGTAATTAACTGGGGAATAGCTAGGTCAGATAGATGAGAACAAAAGGTTAGTGGGAGGAATAGTATTTGAACATTGGACAGTCTTCAGAAAATGGTTTGGGCACAGTCAAGGTATAGTCCTGCAAAAAGGAAGAGGTAGGTCAAACAAATTCAGAGCTCCCTGGATGAACAGGGAGGTAGAAATAAAGAAAAAGATGAAAAATATGTGCTTATGACAGGTGTCAGATAGAAATGCAGTTGAGAACCAAGAGGAATACTGGAAATTCAAAGGAAGGTGATAAAGCACATTACAGAAGTGGAGAGCGATGAGAAAAGACTGGAGGTTAACATAGTCAAAAGTATATAAATAGTAAAAGGATGGCAAGAGGATGGCAAGAGGAGGAGTAGGACTGATTAGGAATCAAAAAGAAATTTACATATGGAGGCATGGGGCACAGCTGAGTTATTAAATGAATGCTTTGCTTCTGCCTTTACCAAAGAGGTAGATGCAATCCAGGCCATGGCGACAAAGGAAGAAATTCTGCCGATAGAAGGGTCCAAACTTGATAAAGAGCAAATGCTTAAAGTTGACAAGGCACTGCGATCAGTGAGGGGAAATTTCAAGATATATTTAGACATAATCTCTTAGCCTTCCTTACGGACAGGGAAGGTGCCAACAGACTGCAGAATTGGAAAGACTCTGCCCTTGTTCAAAACAGATTGCAAGGATAAGCCCAGCAATTACAAACCAATCAGTTTAACTTCAGTGATGGGGAAACTTATAGAAATAATTATTTAGGATAGAATCAGTCGTAATATGAACAAAGGTGGGTTGATTAGGAAGTACCAGGAGGAAAGAGTGTATAATTAATGTACTGGAATTTATTGAAGAGGTAACAGAAAAGTCTATTAGGTAATGCTGTTGATCTAGTGTACATGTATTTCAAAAGGCAATCGATACAGTGCCAAACAACAGACTTGACATAAAGGCTAAAGGTCACGGAATGAAAGAAACAGTGACAATATGGATGTAAAATTGGCTGAGGGATAGGAAACAGTAATTAATACAAGATATTTTTCAGGCTGGATGAAGATTTGTAATGGCATTCTCCAAGCATTGGAATAGAGACCCTTGCTTTTCCTAATGTATATTAATGATCTAGATCTGTGTGAGCAGGCAACAATTTCAAAGTTTGCAAACTTGAAAGCATTGTAAACTATTAGGAGGACAGTGTAGAGATTAAAATAACAGACAAGTTGGTGGAGTGGGCAGACAGGTGGAAGGTGGAGTTCAATGTGGACAAATATGACATCATTCATTCTGGTAAGAAAAACATGGGCAATATCAAATAAGGTGGTACAATTCTTATGACTACGCGAGAGCAGAAGGATTGGTAATTATGTGCATAGATCATTGAAGGTGGCAGGACAGGTGGAGAAAGCAGTTAATAAAGCTTGCAGAATCCTGACCTTTATTAACAGAGGGAATATGAAGTTATGTCGAACTTAAGATACTTTTTGGTCCTCAGTTGGTGCCTTGTGTGCAGTTCTGGGTGGCGTTCTATGGGAAGAATGCAAACGCATTGGAGAGTGCGCAGAATAACTTTACAAAATAGCTCCAAGAATGCAAAACATCAGTTGTGAAGACTGATTGGTGATGTTGGGATGGTTTTCTCTTGGGAGAAAATGCTAGGCAAGATCTGGTAGCAGTGCTTCAGTACCTAAGGAATCTCAAATTGTAGTATCCGTGATTGCAGAGACCTTAGGAGGATACACAGATGAATTGCCCACTTGCAACTTCTGGCTGGAAATGTTTGCAAATGCCACAGCCCTGACTTTTGCACCCTCGCAACCCACCACTGAGATTGTTTAACTCTTGACTATAGCATGCTGTCATCTGGTGTTGTAGCTTCACCAGGTTTGCACCTCATTTTTAAGATTTGACTGATACAGCACTTGGCACGTTCACCTATATTCTTCATTGAATGAAGGTTGGTCCCTGGCTTAGCAGCAATGGCAGACTGATGCACATAATGAGTCATGTGAGAAATATCTTTCAGGTGTGCACAAAATCTCAGGTAGCCCCGGAAGCAGAGTTGCTGGGTAGCAGCTGGGAGGTATGGCATATCCGCTTAAAACATGGCTCCCAAGGAATAAGGTCCACGAGTGAAACCATGAAATAACATATGACCATTGAAGTAGCCATCAGCACAATGAAGGTGCCTTGACAGATCTGAATGCAGTCTTCCGTACTCAACAAGTAAGGCCCCCAAACTGGGCAGTTTATGCTTTGCTCTGAGAAACATCGCACTGGAATGAATGACCCGGGAGGCCTTAACAGTGACCTGCACCCCTTGCAGTCTCCTGGCATCAGGTCAAAAATAGCCTGGAAAACTTGTTGCTGATTACTACCGATCATTATAACACATTGTGGTTGAATACATCGTTGCTGCTCTTGTTGCCCACAGAACCTTAATGATGCTCAGTTTTGAACTGCTAGATATGCCATGCGTCTAGCACAGTAATAGTGCTAAACCATGCAATTAGGGTGGCTTCAATTTGAAGTCAGAATTAATGATGCTCATTCGAAAAGCCAATGCAGACACAATGGGCCAAACAGCCTGCTCCAGCACCCTAACGCTTCTGTGATTAGACTGGAAGAATGATTTGGTGGTAGATCCTCAATACATTTGTGGACTGACACATCTGCAACAGGCAAAATGGTGAGGAAGAGATCAAGCACATTTTTCCTTTTTGTGTTAATTCCCTTTGAGCCTGTGACAGGTACTGCCTGGTGGATATTTCCTTCAGGCCAATTTAACATGTACTGGTGCTACACAGAAACTCTTAATAAAGGACTTTGAGCTTTTCTAATCACAGCAAGTGACCTTAACATCCTTATTCTTCCTTCCAATTGGTGTTCAAATCAGAAGAGCATCAATGCATCAGTTGAGGGACAATGATCGGTAGTAATCAGCAACAAGTTTTCCAGGCTATTTTTGACCTGATGCCAGGAGACTGCAAGGGGTGCAGGTCACTGTTAAGACCTCCCAGGTCATTCATTCCTGTGCAATGTTTCTCAGAGCAAAGCATAAACTGCCCAGTTTGGGGGCCTTACTTGTTGAGTACTGAAGACTGCAGTCAGATCTGTCAAGGCACCTTCATTGTGCTGATGGCTACTTCAATAATACACTCAATGGTTATATGTTATTTCATGGTTTCACTCGTGGACCTTATTCCTTGGGAGCCATGTTTTAAGCAGATATGCCATACCTCCCAGCTGCTACCCAGCAACTCTGTTCCAGGGCTACCTGAGATTTTGTGCACACCTGAAAGATATTTCTGTAGCTGCATATTTGGAGTGAATGGTCTTGTTGTTTGAGTGATTTATGACTGTCTTTTTTCTGTGCTACTGAAGAGGCACTGCACCTGTGGGATGCAAACCAAAGCGCCTTTTCATTCTGACTGCAAAATCTAAGGCAAAGATAACAGAATTGTTGGCCCAGCAAACAAGCCACTAGTGAGAAAGATAGTAGGAACTGCAGACGCTGGCGAATCTGAGATAACAAGGTGTAGAGCTGGATGAACACAGCAGGCCAAGCAGCATCAGAGGAGCAGGACGGCTGACGTTTCGGGCCTAGACCCTTCTTGGGGACAGCTTTGCAGAACACCTACACTCGGTTCGCACTAAACAACTGCACCTCCCAGTCGCAAACCATTTCAACTCCCCCTCCCATTCCTCAGACGACATGTCCATCCTGGGCCTCCTGCAGTGCCACAACGATGCCACCCGAAGGTTGCAGGAACAGCACCTCATAATCTGCTTGGGAACCCTGCAGCCCAATGCTATCAATGTGGACTTCACAAGCTTCAAAATCTCCCCTCCCCCTACCGCATCCCAAAACCAGCCCAGCTTGTCCCTGCGTCCCTAACCTGTCCTTCCTCCCACCTGTCCCCTCCTCCCACCTCAAGCCCCACCCCCATCTCCTACCTACTAACCTCATCCCGCCCCCTTGACCTGTCCGTCCTCCATGAACTGACCTATCCCCTCCCTAACTCACCACCTACACTCACCTGCCTCACTCCATCCCTGCCTCTTTGACCTGTCTGTCTCCTCTCCACCTATCTTCTCCTCTATCCATCTTCTATCTGCCTCCCCCTCTCTCCCTATATATTTTCAGAATCCCCTTCCCCTCCCCCATTTCTGAAGAAGGGTCTAGACCTGAAACGTCAGCCTTCCTGCTCCTCTGATGCTGCTTTGCCTGCTGTGTTCATCCAGCTCTACATCTTGTTATCTAAGCCATTAGTTACTTCTATTATGCATCTTTGGACTGCTGAGCAGGAGATTTGGAGCATGTCTCCAGCAGATCCCTGAAAGACTTCATAGACAAAAAACAAAGTAGAGTACGCCAATGACCTTGCCATACACACTGGCAAAATTTGGCAGTCAGGTCAGCAGGTTCTCACATAGCTGGTCAGAAATAATTTGTCACCACCAAAAGCAAGGCCCTAAGCTTCTAGAGACTTGTGTCAACATGCTGAGTAAACTGATCCTCTGCCTGGAAACCTGGGGCATTGAATATTACCTTCTGGAAGATGCAGCTTTCTATGGCTCCACTCTCCCTGTCCAGCTAGAAGCAGGTGACCAGAAAGCTTCCAAATGTCATTCATTCTTATCAGAGGTCCAGTTTAAGGCAGCATAAACAGTACACATCCTGATGTGATAGATCAAACTTCCAAAGTATGGAAAATGCCTCCAACATATAGAGAGTTGATTCTCTGCAAGCATTTTATGAAAATCTTTCCCGACAGTAGGTAAATAATGCTATGTATTTTCCTCTGCTGCACCGGCCCCAGAAAATGATCAAGCCTCTGAAATATAATGTATTCTAGCCTTAATTTCACTGGCAAGTTTCAGGAAGAATGTGAAACCCATGGACCTGGCACTAAACTAAGAAAAAACACTTAATATCAATTGGGCAATCAACACATTGCAACTGAAAGCCTGCATCTCCCAAGGATCCCTAATATGTTCAATGAAACTTAAAAATCAATGGAATGGAACTGACTTCCAAAAGCAGTGTCAATTTCACCAGTGCTATCCCATCTTGTGCCTTCATACTGAAATTCAGTCCTATGCATTTGCATAGCTCTTTACCAATAAAAGAAAAAGAAGTGTTTAAAATTACTGAAAAACAAACCACAAGAAAGTTGATATCTAGACCTTAAGTAGTCACTAAGCACCAACACAGACCAAATATGCGTGTGGCTCACCTTTACTCGTGTTCCGAGGTGGAAGTGGAGGAGCATCAGTTACAGGAGGGGGGGGACTGGAGCTCAGTACAGTTCCATATGTTTCATTATGTAGCATACTTGGAATGAACGGTCGCTGTTTATCTTTAATGGAGTTGGCTGAATCTCTTGGCAGGACTGCAAGAGGAGGTGGAGGCTGAAGTTGGTTTGCTCCTGATTGGTATGATAATTGATAGAAGCTGATAGGTCTATTGGGACTGGATTGCTGAAAAAATATGTTTATTAAAATTTGTTAAGAACTTTAATTGGACACATTAGAGCTGACAATACCAGGTGAATTAATGCGCATTACACTCTTTTTAACAATGATGCATTGCCCTGGAATGTCTGGCATGTTGATTAAGACAAATTACGACAGATATATCATGAATTTCAGTCTGTCACAGTCAAAAGATGGCAGTTTAAAGCTGGGTTCCTAAAATACTTGCTTGAGTTTTGGTTTGGGAGGGTTATACATTTGAATATGACCAGCCCTGAGGGATCATAACCGCAAGACTACTCAGCAGGCCAATAAAGGAATTATTTCATCAGTATAATCCTGGATGGTATCTAGACATCTAAAGTAAAGATGTCTTTAACTGAAGGAGAGGGTACCATGTCACACAGTCAATGGTTTCTTTCAACAGAAATGAATAAAATACAGCAATGCAACAAAGATAGTAACAGGAAATGAATGAACATGAAATGGAGAAACATAATGGATAGAGATAAAGGCTAAAGAAGAGAGATCAAAAAGCAAGAGTAAACATTGTTGGGAAATGGAAACGATCTGACACTAATACAACACCTTAGGTAATAACGATGTACCTAGAGGGAAGAACTAATAGCTGATGATTACATTTACTGCATGGAGAGGTTTGGAGGAAGTCAAAGAAAGTCAGAGGAGGAGGACCACTGATTAAAAGCTGACACTTTGCTCAGAATCATGAAATACATACTAACACCGTTTATGACAGTGCTGTACCTTCTCTGACTCAAGTGGTGTCATTTTGGAGCATTATCTTTCCATCCCTCAGACTTGAGATCATTCACAGCCTTCCAAATTGTGGACTTATCCGCCTGCCGCTCTGTTATCAGACGTCTTTATCAAGGAGACCACCAGCCTCCAGAGCACCCACTCAAGACACCGCCTCACAACATCTCTCAGAGTGGCTACGACAGCCTTCAGAACCCACCCAGATGCAACAAAGCTGCCCCTTCCAGCCCACCAGTCACTGGCCACTGCAGAGATCAGCAGACCCCATTGGCCCATGGAGTGCTGGTCTAGCATAAGCCTGGCAAGCCCTCCTCCTCAGTCCAGGGTGAGTCAGTCTAGTGTGAGCTTGACAACCCTCCCACTGCTGGCCTGTGGGTTGCTAATCCAGTCTGAACTCTGCAGATCTGTACAACAACCCTGTAAAAAGTAAGAATGTTATTCTTCAGTTAATGTTCAATTCATTCTGTTAAAAGAAAATAGCATCCTATGAACTTTCTTGATTACATGCTTCACCTGCACAATAACATTTTATGACTCATGCACTAGAACTCCTAAATTCCGCTTCACCTTGGAATTCTGCAATCATTCTTTGTTTAAATACTCTGCCTTTTCATCCTTCCAGCAAACTGAATGACTTCACGTTTTCCTACATTATACTCCATCTGCCAGTTTTTTGTTCACACACACCTGTCTGCAACCTACTTATGTCTTGTTCGCAACATAAATTCCTACCTATCTTGGTGTAATCTCTGAAATTAGCCACCATACCTCTGATCTACTTACCTAATGCAGCAAGACCTGCACAATATCCAGGTTTAGGCTGCAAATGGCAAATGATATTCATGCCACATGTGCCAGGTAACAACCATCTCCATTGAGAGAATCTAACCATTGCCCCTTGACATTTAATGCATCACCATCACTGAATACCCCACTGTCAACATCCTCAGGGATACCACTGACCACAAACTGAACTGGACTAATCAGAAAAGTAATGTGCTACACAAGGAAGCTACAGACTAAAGATCTTGCAGCAAGTAACTCACCTGCTGACTGAAGCCTATCCACCACCTAGAAGGCACAAATTAGGAGAGGGATGAAATCTTCCCACTTGTCCAGATGAGTGCAGCTCCAACAACACTCAAGAAGCTTGAAACTATTCAGGATGATGCAGACCGCTTGATTAACACTGCATCCATAAGCATTCATTCCCTCCATCACCAATGCTCTGCAGCAGCAGCATGTACTATCTCCAAGATGCACTGTATTAACTAGCCAAATTTCCTCAGACAGCACCTTTTAAACCAATGACCATTTCCATCTGAAAGGACAAGGGCAGCAGATACAATGGGATCACCACCAACTCAAGTTTTTCTCCAAGTTTCTCACCATTCAGCCTTTGAAATAATTCACCATTACCTCAATGTTGTTGGGTCAAAATCCCAGAATCCCCTCCCTAACGGCATTGTTGATCTACCTACACTAAATGGACCTCAGTGGTTTAAGAAAGCAACTCACCACCATCTACTCAAGGGCTGTGATGGCCCAGCCAGTAATGTCTATATCCTGTGAATGAATTAAAAAAAAAAAGTCCAAAAGTGCAATAATCTATGATGTGGCAGCTTACCAGATGCCTTCTGGAAATCCAGGTACAGTACATCTACAAGCTCCCCTTTATCCACAGCAGGCGTTAATCCTTCAAATGCTCTAGTAAATTGGTTAAACAAGACTTCTATTTGACAAAAACATGCTGACTCTTCCGGACTATCTTGAATTGTTCCGAGTACATAACTATAACTTGTTTAATGATTGATTCTAACACATTCCCCATTACAGAAGTCAAGCTAAATAACTTTTAATTTTCTATTTTCTGCCTCCCTCCCTTCTTGAATATTTGCCACTTGCCAGGCAAGAAATCCAATTATGCAAAAATTAAATTGCTCATCATGTATTAACACAAATTAAACAATTTGAAAAGGTACTGTAATAGCAAATTACATAAATTAAATGATGTCAAAATGAAAGTACAATAATGCCAAAGGATGGACTTGAAGCAAATGTAGAAGAGTGAAATAATAATGAAGTACAAGAAAAGACAATTAAAGGTAAACTCAGAGCACACATCTAAAAATCTCAAGCAGTTATTACAAACCTGATTTACTAGATCCCTACACTCAAGCTCCGGATCTTGGCAAATACCATCTCATTTCTTAAAATCAGTAGATATCACAGTGAAATATAGTGAGCAGATTCATGAATTGAATGAACTAGAAAATCAGGACTCAACATAATTGATCAATTATTATTTTCTAAGGTGACAAATGAGATTGAAGATGTCCAAACTTGCAAAAAAATTATATTAGTAGCATTGTTGACTGTATGTTACATTCCTACCTTGTCTTCAATATCATCATCACTTTCATCTAAATCTTCATGATGCAATCTCCATTCATATTCCACATGGACATGAGCATTAAACTTGCCTGATAATGACTGTATAAGCTAAAAAATACAGAATCACCACTTAAAAACATATAAATGCAAGTGTAGATCTTATTATTCATCTTTTAAAAAAAACTGTATGTAGAGACGTACCACCTCTTCACACTGAGTGTGTTTTAAGCGTTTGGCTATGTCAAGTGGAGTTTCCCCTCCTTCATTGGCTGAAAATAAAACCGCAATCTGTTAAATTTTTTTTTGATTAAATATAATACTTTCTTAGACTACAGACATAATTCAGTTTTCAAAGCTTCCGTTACAATTAAAAAGAACTTTAGTTTTAGATTTGGAAAGTAAAAGTAAAGGTAAAGTCACCACAGTCCCAAAGGACCATAGGGCTGCTCTCTCAGATAGGGACAGCTTATGGTTTAACCTGAGGGGCACCACACCTCAGGTGAGGGAAGAGGTTGAAAAGGAGAGTCCTTCATGGGAACCTCAGCCATTGCAGGTATTGAACTTTTACTGTTGGCAATACTATGTTTCACAAAGCAGGAACTCAGCCAACAGAGCTAACCAATCCCCTAGATTACTTTTACATTTGGAAAATCCTGCAAGGTAAAGTTGGAAGCCAAGCATGATCAACTGAAATTTAGATTAAGGACATCAATTTCATTTACTAAAGAGAACTGCACAAACATGTCTTCATTATCTTTTATATTCAGTATTCTCTAATTTGTTTCAATGTAATTACGCTATATTTAGTTCAGATCAGGGTTTCTAAAGTGAATATGCTTTCGCAGCATTTCACTGTGTGTCCAACCCAGATATATCTTATGTTCTAATGTTATTTTTAAAAAAAAGAAAGTGTCACACTAGACTCAACACATTAAGTCTTTCTCTCTACAGATGCTGTAAACCTATTGAATTTCTCCAGCATTCTGTGTTTATATCTTGTGTACTGGTTAGGATGAGCTTTTAACAAAATATTCTTGCATTTGGATTTTGCATTAACTTGATCTCTTTATGGTTTCAAAAACTGATGTGGAATTGAGCAAAGTGCCCACTTTACATTTTTAGCTCCTAAATTTGGATATCTCAGTGTAACATTCTTGTAAACAAATCAAATATAACAAAAAACAGGAATGAGGTAGACACACACGTTATTGAGGAGTGTTTTGGGGAGGAATGCAACTACAAATGTGTAAATGTTAGACTTATGTTTTAAAATTGGTTTCAGAATGATGAGGTTTTTATAGGTGTTTATAGCAATCACTGAAAAAGCAAGACAATCTGGCCATTATGCCTGTGTCACCTCAAGTGAAGAGGTCTCCATCAGACTCAGTTCTCTGCCCTCCCTTCACCTTTCACAGTCTTCCCTTCCTTATGATGATGAATTCTGTGCTCTAATAACTGGCTAAAAAAGTTCCCCTTCATTCTTCTAGTGATAAATCCTCAATCTATGTAATTTGTTATCAATTAATGGGAACATACTTGTATTGCACAACCTTCCATAATTTTTAAGGCCACCATTAAATTCCTCTAGACCAGTTAAAAAGCTTAAATAGTATCAACTCTTTCTTCATAACATTAGTTATTCATTTGAAGTCTATTGTGGTGTTTATTCAATGAATTACAGACCAAATAATATTAATAGAAATTCATAACAAATGAAAACTTAACACAAAAGAGAATAACCATTTAGAAACTGTTTGTTGCAAGTAGTCATTGAGCCACATGTAAAACTGTATATGGTTAGATTGAGCCCAACGTGTCACATTTAATGTTAAGTATTTGAGTATTTGAGAGATTTTGGTCTACTCTTGATTTTCATTGGCCTAGTTTTATTTTCTAATTCTGAGAATAGTGTATATCTAAACCAGTTACCCTACTCCTTTCAAATCCTGAAATAACCTTCTGTGTATCTGCTACACCTTTGGTTTTTACATATGGACTTCAAAACATGCTCTAGTCATCATAGATGAGATTTTTCAATAATAAAGCAGACGTGATTTTAAATTAACATACCTATTTCAATGGAAGCTTTGCCCCTCAAAAGCAACTTAAGACATTCCACATTATCATTTAGACAGCAGTAATGCAATGCTGTACTGCCTTTGGTTGTCTGTTTGTCAAGATTCCCACTGTTGGACCAAACATTGACAATTCGTATACAGGATTACATTTCAAAAGATGACATTCAAGCATTTGAACTACATGCAACACTTGTTTACATTGCTAAAAGGAAAGTGCAACCAATGAAAAATAAACATCTAAAAGAATGCCTGCAATATCAACAAGATTATAATTTTATAGGATTAGGTTACAAGAATTTGTTAATTTGAGACAAACATTTCGTTATTATTCATTTCATCCTTTCCAGTTCACAACACCTGTCCTCATCTAGTTGGTAAGTTGTCATCAATTTCTTAGAAATTCTCAGATAGGACATGCTAGTTAAAGATACAAATCGTTGAGTAAGATTGTGACTACCAACTGCTCGTGCACCCACAAGTCAGGATTACAGTAACCAATAAGTTATAGGATGAATTTTCTGCAGACCATAGACCCAAATGACTATACTATCAAAATAGCCTCATCATAGCTACTTGCTTATAAACAGCAAGACTTTTTTAATAAACACAATATCATTATGAATTGCTGACCTGTTTTGTACTAAAAAGTCAACTACATGAAGTGATGTTCTGTCCACCAATCTTACAGCAAGATGTAGCGCAGTTTCTCCTTGTTCCTAGAAGTATACAGAGAGATGAAAATCAATGTCAAAGTATTTAAATATGTAGGATAAATTTCAAATGAGCTTTTGAAGAGCTGTGAAACACTGGTTAATCTTTGAATTTGCATCACCGATAGTCAACTAAGAAAATATAGCAATGTATTTTACTGTGCATGCAATAATGACTTTTAGAAAATCACTAGCTTTACACGAGCACGAACCTATTTTTGTGCAATATAAATAGTTCAGCAGCTGATTTGCCAAAAATTAACTATCTTTTGATAGATCAGACTGCAGCTTATTGATAACTGACCCACAGAACTAACACTGAGACTTATTTGTCAGTAATTATCAGTTCCTGTTTAAGTACTCATTAAGGAAGTGAGTGCAAATTCTGACTAGTTACATGTAACAAAGCATATCTTTGAGAGCCAAAGTTTCAAGTTTCAAGAATTATTGATTGATTATAGCAAATGCAGACAGCATTCCTGAATTTGTTATCAGCTAAAAAGCAGCATGGTTTATGCTTGAAATTCCCACATGCTGAGATTCTCATTAAGTATCATGGGTGACCCCAAATGGGTATGATTGGAAAAAAAAAGTACTGCTTATTTACATTCTAACTGCTGATACTTATCATTTTTAGACACTTTGGAGCAGTCTTCAAATCTGGACAGCCATTTTTAAAAATATTCATGTAGGGTAAACAAGATAGTCACATCATTCTCAATCAAAAAACCTAGTTTAGAATGAAAAATAAAATCTACCTCAAATCTGTAATAGGCCTTGCTATTTGCAAAGTATGTCATACTTACAATCAAGTTGCTCAAATATCACAATCAATGGGAACTGTTCAGAAAGGAATACGAAATGGAGGAAGTGGTAATTTTCAGCTGGCTGTTGTTGGGTTTGGCAAACTGGACTTCCCACATGTACTCCTCTCATTTAATTTTCCATCCAGATTAGGGTGTGCAAACATCAACCAACTTAGGGACAAGTCCTATGGTATCAGAAATTAGCTTAAAATTGACTCTGAAGTGTTGTTTTTAAACTGGCACCTCTCCATACTGAGTTGGGAATCTCTTTCCTTAGTATTCGTCAATACATGATTCTATATTTTTTTCTCTTAACAAATTCAAATTTCTCAAATCAAGCAAACATGCCCTCTATTTTCAACTTTCTTCAAATAGTAATGATATTTTAAAATTAGACTTACATGTCCATTTGCCAAAGGAATTGGGTCAGTGAGATCTACACCATCAGCATACACCTGAATTAAAGCGAAAATGTCTCTTGACTTGATTGCATCACATAGACAGCTAAGTTTGGCTGCATTGTCGATACACTTCTTCCTTGAAAATTTTCGTTCTATATACTTAGCAGTAATGTAGTCCTTCCGCGCAACCCTGTAAAAAAAAAATTCCCCACATCTTAGCCTTGTTTAATATCATTGACAATAAGTGTGAGATAGATTTATTCGGTATTTAACCTGTCAAATAAAGTTCCCATATAATCCAAGTATTCAAAATTGGACTCATCTTCATTTGCACAGTAACTAAAAGGCACTCCTTAAATAAATAAATTGAGAGTAATTATTTGGGCCATGCAAAGTATGTTACACTAATATCGTGCATTCATTTAGTGCCTTGAACAAAGTGTTTCATAGAAATGTTAGAACAGATGACCAAAAGCTTGGTTGAAAAGGTAGATTTTAATGCAGTCACTTACAAGGAGAGCGACAGAAAGACAAAGAGGATTAGGAATGGAATTTTAGAGTTTAAGACCCACGCAGTGAAACAAACAGTCACTGAAGGTGGAGCAATAAATAATGCAGACACACGAGGCCACAACAGTGCTAAAACAATAGATATAGTGCTTCACAGACTTCATGTGCAAGCAAAAGAGAGAGGAACTATTTTTATTCCAAAAAGCTTTTTAGAAACAAAATCTAACTTTAGGAGTTAAAGATAAAGTGATGCAAAAAAAAAACGTTTAATTATAGAATCACAGAAACCCGACAGTGTGGAAACAGGCCCTTCGGCCCAACAAGTCCACACCGACCATCAGAGCATCCCACTCAGACCCATCCCCATATAACCCACCTAATCTACACACCCCTGAACACTACGGGCAATTGAGCAAGGCCAATCCGCCTAGCCTGCACAGCTTTGGACTGTGGGAGGAAACTGGAGCACCCGGAAGAAACCCATGCAGACACAGGGAGAACGTGCAAACACCACACAGACAGTCGCCCGAGGGTGGAATCGAACCTGTGAGGCAGCAGTGCTAACCACTGAGCCACCGTGCCACCCCAATCTATTTAAAAAAAGAACACAAAACATGTAAAAACAAACAATTCTTATCAGGAGAAGATAATTTGGAAACTAATCAAAATGCAAAGCACAAAGCATGAATGTAAAGCTCATTAATGACAATTGTCTAAAAAATCCAGAATCTCAAAACAATGGTACATTTAACATGGAGACAATTTTAATAATTAGTCAAAAATTTTACAAAATTAGAATACCAAATTGTACAAGTACTTTGATTCAATGTTTAAACTGCAAAACTCAAGTAGTTAAAATTTTACTGAAATTCTACTTGAAAACGCCAGTTTTAAATGATCCTCAAATTTAATTCGGAATTTGATACCACCTGTAATCACACAAAAAATTCTTGGCTCATTTATTTAATACAAAAAGGAGCAATATCAAGTACTACTCAATTTTTAACTTATTAAGTAAAGCGTGAAGTAAAGCTCGATGTGCAATGCTCCCTTCACCATCCAAACTGTAAGCTCCTGCATGCATGCAAAATTCATTTTAAGTGAAAAACATATTTATAACAAGATCCCAATTTCATGAAAGGCATTAAAAGATGCAAATACGGTAAATGAATGATAGAGAAAATCATTCTCAAATAAAATAGACTTGAGTTTTCCATATCCATTACTTAGAGTTAGCCAATTTGAGGGGGAATAAAGAAAGCAAAACACAAACTACAATAATAATGCACTCTTGATAAAGAACAAACTGAAAATCTTGTTGATTTTGTAGAATCAGATGTACTTTGCCTTTTCTCATAAACTGCAAAATTAATTGTGTGTACTTACATGTCACTGTTGGGATTAGGTTTGGCAATTTCATCGAAAGGCAAACTAGCTTCCATGATCTCATTCAATGCTGCATTGCCAATGTTCTTGGCTAGCTGTCAAAAATAACAATTCTCCCATTAGGCCTTAATGCATTTAGCCAATCTATTATATAATAAAGTTGCTGAATGGTTTGCAAGATTTAATCTCAAAATGTATTATTGAATGGACCATAATATTTAATTCCAAAATGTACTGATAATTTCCATCAGGCTAAGCCCATAAAAAAAGCCATTTGTGAACCTGTCACATAAACTTAGAGCATCAGTAATACCTTTTAGGTGGAACTGAGGGTGGATGATTTGCACGTTAGATCAAAAAGTAATAGTGTTTCCTTGATATGTGGGCATCACCAATGATGCTGGCTTTTATTTCCCAACTATAGTTGATGTGGGTGGCATACCTTCCTGAATTTGTGATAAAGGTTGTATTTGTATGAAAACCTCTACAAAGAATGAGTGCCCAGCTAGGCCACTTCAGAATCAAGTTTAACTATGTATCCTAAAGAGGAAATTCTTACCAAACTTGAAGCAGTTAGTACTCACTTTATTACACAGACAAGCCCAAAGATTTAAAAGAACCGTGCATCCTTTAGCATTGATGAATAATAGCCTTCAACAACCAAGCATGACAAGTTGACTGTGAAATATTTAGTCCAATTAGTTGATGAATTAGACTAAAGACCGTAAGATATAGGAGCAGAATTAGGCCATTCAGCCCTGGAGTCTGCTCCAACATTTGATCATATCTACTTTATCCAGGCCCCTCAGTATCAATAAATGTAAGTTTCAGTCAAATCCCACTCATCCTTCTGAACTCCATCGTGTACAGACTCAGAGTCCTCAACTGCCCCTCACATGAGAAACCCTTCATCCCCGGAATCATTCTTGCAGATCTCCTCTGGATTCCCTCCAATGCCAGCACAACTTTTCTTAGATGAGGGGTTTAAACTGCTCACAGTATTTCAAACATGGTCTGACCAAAGCCTTATGTAGCTTTAGCAGTACATTGCTGTTCTTGTTTTCTAGCCCTCTTGAAATGAATGTCAACACTGCATTTGTCTTCCAAACCACCATCTGAACCTGCATGTTAACCTTAAAAGAATCCTGAACTAGGACTCCCAAGTCTCTTTCCACTTCAGATTTCTGGAGCCTTTCCCATTAATTAATCATCTACTGACATTATTCCGCATCACCTAACAGAAGTCATTCAGGAGCATGCCTTCAAATGTGCATTTGGGAATGACCTTGGTGTAGTACTTCGCCTTTCGATGAAATAGTGTTTGTATTTTGCTTGCTAGACAGGTTAGATGGTTATACTCTGGGGAGCCGCAATGAGCAATGCATCAGATGGATTCAGAACAGAATGGGGAATCTTGATTATCTGTACCAAGATACAAATCCGTAACAGAAACAGAAAGAACTGTGGATACTGTAAATCAGAAACATAAACAAATTGCTGGGAAAGCTCAGCTGGTCTGGCAGCATCTGTGCAGAGAAATCAGCGTTAATGTTGCTACCAGACCTGCTGAGCTTTTCCAGCAATTTCTACAAATCTATAATGTTAATCTATGCTTCACCGTCACAATGGTTCCTTAAAGCTCGGATCCCTCTCACTAAATTAATGCGGTGGTTATTTATACACATATTGCGGGGGGGGGGGGGGGGGAAGCTAGTATATTGGTGGAAGACCAACTTTATGATCTACTTAAATTGTTTTGTAATTAGCCAAAGAGTGGTTTTGAAAAGTCCACTTGCGGCTTTAATGTCATCACAGGCTGTCACAAGATCAAATTCAGTAGGCTTGTAGAAGTGAAATACCAAAAGACTGTTGATGTGGATGTAGTGATTAACTATCTACAACACTTCTTTGCTGGATAGAAAAATTCAGAAAGTTATCCAAAGGATTGGTTTCATGAATTTATCTTGCTAATCTACAAGAACAGAGGAAACAACAATGAGTTTGGTAACTATTGCAGCATACTCTTCTTGTTGCGGGTAAAGCATTTGTTCAAATTATTATCAGAAGATTAATGCCCCTTACTTAAGAACAAAGTGGCTTAATCTCTGGTAGACTGGTCAACTGTCAAGTTTGATATTTAACATAATGCCACAGACAAGGTAAGAATATCATTTCAGTATGCAGTTCATGTTGATATCAAGATGACCTTTAATTCTGTATACAGCCCTTTGGCAAATTAGAATGCCAGAGGAATAGCTGGGCTGGGGGTTAATAATGTAATTTTGACATCATGTGGAAGGAGGGGAAGATCAAATGATCTCAGGGTGGGATCATTTGGCAGTTTGGTTTGAGTTTGAAGTAAAAATTTCTGCCCTTTCAGGCATATAAGCAGTGGAATAATGGCATTTACATCAGGAATCCAGACCTTCACAATCCTTTTCACCTGTTAGAAAAACTGATGTCCAGGGATGCTGGACTTAAATGTATTGAAAGGTCGAAACTGAGTAAAAATGAAGACACAGATTGCTAAAAATATTTTAGTAATCAACCCACCCTCTTGGGAGTTGTTTGCTGGCCACCCGCACCTCACCTTGCCTACATAAAAAGATCAGAAGTAGGAGCTTAATCTTTTTTGGTCTTTTTACCCGCTTCTAATCCATGTTCCTCAGGCACAGTTCTTCCACAAAATATCTTTTAATATAAAAATGTGAAATGAGCCCACTTTGATAATTAAATTATTTACCAGTTTCAATTCCCTTTTGGTTTTACAGTGTGTAACCTTTGATATGCCTACTGATATAGTTTTACTTCTTTTTCTATCTTATCTTTCCACACCATACAGTTGATAGATCAGTTGGAGATCAGTCTTCGGTTTTTAAGTTATTGCCACTTTATACTACAAGTAACTTACAAAAGATACTGAACAGCAACAAAACACAACATGCTGGGAGAAACTCAGCGTTAAATCTGAGTTTCTCCATCTCTTTTTGTTTCAGATTTCCAGGATTCACAATTCTTCATTTTTATTTATGTGAATAGCAAACTGTGTTGACTATTCCTCCAATTTGCTGCAAAAATTGAATTAAAGCAAAAATAGTAATTGAAGAGATACTTACCAAGAGTTCTGATGTCCCTAATACATCTAACGTAAGGGACTGTATTCTAGAATAGTGAACTCCCAGCTCTCTATGAATTCCAGAGCATTCAATGCAGGTTAGAATTCCCAGATTAGTAGATAGCCATGTTGGGTCTGTTAAATAAAATGCACTAGTCAATTTCAGAATGGCACAAACACTATTGGTATAATCTTAAGCAATCCTTTACAATAAAACAGAAACCTTTAGCAGATTTCATGCCCTAGTCAATTTGACACTGCTGATTTGAACTAACAAACTGATTTTCAATGTAAATGATTAGGTGCTTTTGCAAGACGCAAACAGAAACAGATTTAGTTCCCACTGAGATATCTGGCACCTCATGCCAGATACTGAGTTCAAGTCATGGCACGATCTGAAATGATGTATGTTGGTCAGAATAACAATCACAACACAAAATAGAGGGTGCAATTTTAAAAAAGAATGCAGGTGCAGAAGGATCTGGGTGTATATATACTCAGATCATTGGAGGTGTCAGAACAAGTGGAAAGAGCAGTAAATAAAGCTCGAATACCCAATATTCTCAGGTATGAGAAAGTTCAGCTATGAGGTTGGATAAGTTGGGACAATTCTCCCTGGACAAAAGATGCTGAGAGGAGATCTGATTGAAGTTTTCAAAACCAGCAGTGGGCTGGATACAGCAGAAAGGGTAAAGCTGTTTCCATTTGTAAAAGAAACAGGACGAGAGCTCATACATTTAAAGTGATGTGCAAATGAAACAGGGATGATGTAAAACAAACTTTTTCACATAGCGAATTTTTAGGAATGCACTGGAAATGTGATGGACACTGGTTCAACTGAGGTATTCAAGAGGCATTGGACGGTTTATTGGATAATAATGGTGTGCAGAGATATGGGGAAAAGGCAGGCAGTTGGTACTAAAATAACAACTGAACTAGATACTCTAGACAGTGTAGACGATGGGATGAATGGCCTCCTCCTACACCATAATAATGCTGTGATTCTGTGAATATTAAGGAGATAAGCCACTGTTCGAGGTGCCTTCCTTAGGATAATATAATCCGCCTGGCAATATTAAAGATTATATTGCACATCTCAAAGCAATGTGTTCTAGCCACCAATACTCCCTGAACACATGGCATCAAAAATAATGAACTACTAATACTTTGCTATTGCGAAGAAAATAGAATTATTAGCAAGTAAATCAACCATGCCCTCCGTCTCATGATACAAGTGTATCATGACTGAACTCTACCTACCTCCCCTCTCATATTTGTTGGATATCACTTTTTCAAATTCAAATATGGGAGTCAGTTGGCTCAGTAGGCTAAGACGACTGGTTTGCGATGCAGAGTGATGCCAACAGTGTGGGTTCAATTCTCACACTGGCTCAGGTTACTATGAAGGACTTGACCTCTCTTCTCACCTGAAAGGAGTGGTGACCCTTAGGTTAACCTATCGCTAGTCTTTTCTATCTAATGAGCTAGCAGCCCTTTAGTCAGGTAGGACTATGGCAACTTTACCTTATTGTTATATTTACAGGGGATATATAAAAGTAACTTGACAATCATACAACTTTAAAAACATGATTTCCAAGATAGCTTTTAAATGCAACTGCATCAAGACTGGTCATACAGTAATTATTTTTCAAAATAGTAGATTTAGTCTAACATTCTATAACTTTTCTACAGAAAGTTCAACAATTTTCGTTTCTGACAATTTTATGACAATGTTTTGTCATGTTATATTTCCAATGTTTAACTTCATGTCTGAAGGCTGGTTTCTGCTGAAGGTTCCCTTAAACCTTTTTAATTTATAATTGTGTAAATATCGGTAATTAAGCAATCAAGCTTACTATTTCTTTTCTCTGGATGCTACGTAACAATAATACAATGTTCATGAAATAAAGCATTCTGACAATCATGGAACTAATGAAACACGCTATGTGGGCCATTTTCCCCGAGCCAGTTCTACAAACAAAGTGTCTATTTTATGCCACTGATGTTTCCTCTCCCTCTACTTTTTAATGATCTTTCTTTTCACTCTAATTTCTCTTTGCCATGCGTGGCCCTTTACTTGCAGTGCCTGGTCCCTTTAAGATTTTTGTGGTCATGTGTGCATGTATCAAAGGGGATCAGCTTCTTGTGCAAGTCCACTCTGCCTTAATCACCATATTCATTGAGGGAATGTTGTCAATAACTTTTTTCCAGGCAAAATTCTACTATATTGTTTCTGTACTTTTTCCTTTCCACAGCAATCAGAAATACTTGACCATTATCCAATTAATGTACACTATTAATTGCACTTCCTGTTTTTAAATTCAATTCCTATTTGCCTTTTCTTATATTTGTTTACAAGACATGGTTATCACTGGCTAAGCCAGCATTTCCAGCCCATCTCTAAACCTGCCTTTAAAAGGTGGTAGTGAGTTGTCTCTTTGAATTCTTATAGACCTTGTGGTGCAGACACAGCCACAGTGCTATTATAGGAAGGAAATTTCAGGTTTTTGACCCAGCAAGTGTAGGGGAGTGCCGATATTTCAGAAGGTTGTGGGGCTGGAGGAGATTACAGAGTTAGGAAGTAGCAAGGCATTTAAAAGATTTGACAACAAGGATGAGAATTTTAAAATTGACAGCTTAACGGGAGGCATGTAAAGGCAGCAAGCATCAGGTGTGATAGGGGAAAGGCACATGGCATGGATTAAGATGAAGAGCATTGGATGTTCTCAAATTTACAGTGGGTAGAATATGGAAGGCCAGCCGCAGTGTATTGGAATGAAGTCTAGGGGCAATGAGGCATGAATAACAGATTCAGCAGTGATGATCTAAGGCAGTTGGGTGATGTCACAGATGTCACAAGTTGTATGATTCGAGATGGTATAAGTTTGATTTCACATCAAACACAAAACTTTGTGAACAGACTGGTTCAATCTTAGACTTTTGCCAGAGAGGAGGATGGAGTCTGTATTTAGAGATCAAAGGTTTAGAACAGGAACTGAAAACAATGGCTTTAGTCTTCCCAAAATTTAAATCAAAAGAAATTTCTGTTTATCCAGTGCTGAACATCAGTTAAGCAAGCTGATAATTTAGCAAAAATGGAGGAGACAAGAAAGTTAGTGACGATGAGGTAGAGCTAGACATCATCAGTATACATATGAAAACAATGCTAAGAGTTTGGATCATATCACAAAGGAACAGCATATTTTCAGGAAATCTGCTCCATCTTATTTTGCAACCATAGAACATTTTCCTCAGTTTTTCATGCCTTTAGTTTCACATTCTGAATCATTCATTTGATGTCTGTCAAGTAACTAGTATAGATAATAAAATCTTCCAGGCTGAGATCCCACTAACTTACCTTTTCTCTCACTTTCCATCCCTTAGCCAAGTATCTGAGCCCCTTTCATCAATAAATATATTTTTTTTGGGGGAGGGTAAAGAAGAATAATCTTGGGGGAAATTACAGCTTTATTACATACTCACTTCACTCTTATCCAATGGTCTCACAATTCCAGTTGATTCTTTTCAAACCTCCCTACACAAAATTTATATCCAGGCAAACTGCTTTTGTACTCTCTACAGTTTCAAAGAATGAGAGGTGATCCCATTGAAATTTACAAAATACGGAAAGGGATAGACAGGTTAGATGCACGCAAGATATTTCCCCTGGTTAGGAGACTAGCATCAATCGGCAAAATTTAAAAATAAGAGGGAATACCATCTACATTCAAGATAAGGAGAATTTTTTTTAAACTCAGATGGTTGTGAACATTTGGAATTCATTACTAAATAGGGCTGTGGAAACTCAGTCTTTTGAGCATGTTTAAGATAGAGATTGATAGATTTCGGATTACCAGTGCGCTACAGAGTTAATGGGATGGGGTGAATAAAAGTGTTTGATCAGTCATGATCGTATTGAATGGCTTACTGTACTCCCAAGCACAAAAACACCTGCTAGTAAATGCTTAAAATCCTATTTTTGTACGTTTCATTTACAGTGAAATTTTTTTAAATGAATTTACATTAAAAAATTACACCGCACATTATTGCAATTCTAGATAATTGTTCTTCAAAGTATGAACAACCTGAGCTCTCAAGAACCCAGGAATACAGTTAACCAGAATACTCTTTCCCCCTTACCACCCACCCCCCTCCAAAAACAGAAAATTCACTTCTTTTTCTGAAGACAATGATTTATACAAAGGGACTGTTTGACAGCTACTGGTTGCCCTCCAGTACCTTGCATATATTAGCACTGTTCATGTTTAAACTTAATCAGCTACTGTTGGGAAGTCAATTGACCTTGGCCTATAAGTGAATCCGAACCAAGAACTTATCTTATCCATTCATACAGAAATGCGTCTTAGCAATAAACATGCTTTCTGGTTCTGGTGACTGTCAATAATTTCCTTCAGTTATCTAGGTACAATCACCTCAGACAAGATGAGCAAACAGCAGTAATTATGGCTAGTCCATTGCTCCTTTGAAAATCTAAACCCCTGAAGGTACTTGATTTCTAAGACAAACAATGTCCTAAGGTAGGACTTCAAAAAAAAAGTAAAATTTAAACTGGAATGCTTAATAAAGGTCTCTCCATTTGGAAGTTTCACAAATATTATTACCAAGAATCTCATTGAAAGATACTCAGGTACAGGTAATAACAGTGACCCTTAAACTTCCATTTGGCAAGATATAATTACTGTACAATGTAGCTAAAAATTTATCAATGTCTTTAGCACTGGTTGCCCAAGGTCTGTTTGTGATATGGAAAAATAAATGCTGATACTTCAGAAATTACAATAGATACAAGACAAGATTTCATGAGTTCTGAAAGGACTCTAATTCTCTATCACAGAGCAAAAGATATAACAACAGGACGGCATTAGCTTTAATCAACTTAAACAAGGAAGCATACGAACTTCAGGCAAGTGCCAAATGCAGTTGAATAGAATATAGAAATTAGAGTCATCCAGCATGGAAACAGACTTTTCAGTCCAACTAATCCAAACCAACCATGTTCCCAAACTAAACTGGTCCCACTTGACTGCATTTGGCCCATATCCTTCCAAACCCTTCCCATTTATGTACCTGTCCAAATGTTTTTTAAATGTTGTAACTATACCTCCATTCACCACTTCCCCTGGCAGTTCATTCCTCACACGAACCACTGTGAAAATGTTGCCCCGCATGTCCTTTTTAAAACATATTCTCTTTTCACCTTAAAAATATGCCCCCTGATTTTGAACTTCCCCCGCCCTAGGGGAAAGATCCTTGCTATTAATCTTATCTATCCCCCTCACGGTTTTATAAACCTCAGCTACGTTCCAAGAAATATGTGGAAATCACATGCTCCCAAAAGTTCAAAATGAAACTTGAGAAATTTCAAATTTTTGCATTGAATGTTGTGTGCATTTATCCTATCTTCTGCATGATACATGAAGCGTTTTGTACATAGATATCTGGAGGCATTCGTTTTCATGCAAAATGCTAATTAGACCATTATTTTTAAAATCATCTGCCCTATAGTATTAATAAAGTCATTAGCTTATAATGCAGTTATCCAAACATGGAATTAAATCAAAGATTTTTTTTTTGTTCATGTGATGTGGGTGTCGCTGGCTATTTGATGTCCATTCCTAATTGGCCAGAGGACATTTAAGAATCAACCACATGCCAAAGAAACCACATGCCAAAGGTCTGGAGCCACACGTAGGCTAGACCAGGTAAAGATATCAGATTTCCTTACACGAAAGACATCTGTCAACCAAGTGGGTTTTTACAGCAAATCGACAGTAGGCTGTCATTGGGCTAGCTTCTCTTCATTAGTTCCAGCTTGTTATCGAATTCAAATTTTACCATCTGCCTTGGTAGAAGTTGAATCCATGTTCCCCAGATTATTAGTCTGGGAGTTATTAGTGATTGTGAACTGACTCCCTTGATACAGCAATCATATTAATCACCATTTAATTATTAACGCAAATTACCTGGTGCTCCGCAATCACAGCAAACATCATTTCCGGTCATCCTTTGCACCTCTACAATAATCGCTTTTGTTAATTCTTGGACAATATTGTTTTCTCCTGCGTTATTGTCTCCCTTGAAAGCGTTGTTTAAAGCTTCTTCTTTACTGTTCTGCAAAACGGACATCCAACTAAAGAATGGAAGGCAAGTTATATTTCAGATATACAGAACTGAAGTGGAAGTACTTCTACACAAGATTATTTTTTCAACAACAAAAAGCTGTATTCGTGTTCTTTACAGATTTTGACTTGCGACTAAAATCTCAAGCACTTGAAAGTTCCCCAAGTTTCCAATTCCTGGATAGTGCTTAATATTTCTTTGCCATTTTTCACCTTTCTCCCCACTTTTTGGATGCAGTTCATGATGAATCAAGCATTCTCGCATATTTGCTTACAAAGATTTGAACAATGTTCTTTGCAAGCCTTAGAACAGAGTTGGAGACTAGTAAAAAAAAAAATTGTGGCGTTATTAGGCTGTACACCATCTGATACATATTTATCACTTTATTCAAATGCCAACAACACTTTGAAAGATTAATATGTAATCTGTTCCAAGATATTGTAAATGTTACAACATTGCTAACAGTTAATTAGCTATGCAAAACAAATTCTGGAGAAACCAGAGTTAATGGAATTATTAGCATGAAGTCTGACTATTTGCAGCATTTGCCCTAAAAGGAGTTATATCAGCTTCCACAGCTTTATATATTTGCTAAGATTTTTTTTATTCATTCATGGAATGTGAGCATCACTGGCTAGACCTGCGTTTACTGTGCATCCTGAACTGTCTGCAGTCAAATGTGGGCCAGACTGGGTAAGGACGGCAGATGGCCTTCCCTAAGGACTTTAGTGAACTGAATGGGATTTTGTGACAATTGACAATGATTCATGTTGCCATTAGGCTAGCTGTTCTTTTAATTCTATATTTTCCTTACCAAATACAAATTTCAGTATCTGCCATAATAGTATTCAAACCCATGTACGCAGGACATTAGCCTGGTGCTCTGGATTACAGTGACATTACCACTACACAACCACCTCTCACTAAGTCAACACCAGAAACTTATCTTCAATTACATTTAACAACTTTCGTTATGTTCTGAATGTTGGTCAGTATCTTCACTGCATAATATTACGGTTGAGTCAAACACCGTATGTCTAAGTGGTCCAACTGGATTTAATTTTAGTATTAGTTACTTAAGTCAACCCAATGAGGAAGTCTGAGTTTTTGAGGATTTATTTGCACTTATTTCACCCCTGATGCAGGTCCATTTATAACATGGGTATCTATTTTATGCTTTGATAGGAGACAAATTAGGGCTTTGAAGTATTCTGATATTTTGGGTCAGCGTGTTATAAGATTCAATTGAAGAACTAGAGATCCCAGACTGCAGAAATATTCACATGTTTTATCAGTCCAAGATCACTTCATTAATTTTTCCTGTTTTTTGGTAATCATCTTTATAGATTTACAGCTCATTTTTCTCACTTTTTAGCAGCTCATGTTATCTATGATGCTCAAATCCCTTTGATTTTTACTGTTGGTTGCATTTGATATTGCCTTCAAGTTTGGCATGAGGGCAATAGAGGGAAAGTTTTTTTCCATTACACCTGGTAAATATTATGATGCTTTTGAGCTGTATTTCTTCATACTGTTCTTAAATAATGTCAATTAGATTTATTTGCTTTTTTGCGTAGGTGGTTCCAGATCAAGCAACCTATTGTGAGATTTATGATTTCTGTCACCTTGCACTCTACTTCTAAACTAACAAATTCGAACAATCTGTTGTATCTAAGCACACGGAGCTGTTATTGTCAACCCTGTGTATCTCCATTTCTTTAAACTGCTTGCACTATAACTTTAAAACTTTGATTAATATACATGGCCTCTTGCGTCTTCCTTTCAGCAAAATGCCAATCTCCATTGTTTTGTTAGATTTGCCAACATTTTGTCAAAAAACAGTGTAAATTCAGGTCAACTGAATGCATAAAATAATGGCTCAAGTGAAAAAGTACTCCTCTTTTCTTTTTGTGGAGGCTACACTGACAGAATAATAAGTCTGATTCTTTATTCATTCAATATCCATTTGCGCTGGCAAACCAAACTGGCAGCTGATGTAACAAACAAGATTAGGTAATCTTGTCTGTTTTCATCTTCCGACCACAAAGGGATTGAGGACAATTGTACGGCACCACTACTATCTGAGCTAAACTTAGCTAACTCAGTACAAATGAGACAAACTTTGGTCTTCTTGGTTCAGCTAAACACTGGATTGCATAACAGTCAGGAAACCTTTCATTATAGTGTTTAGCTACTAATGCCTAAACATAAATGAAGATTAAATTTAAAAAAACTATACATTTCAAAACATTTGATCAGTAGGCCCAATTTCATTTTCTGTTGTTCCAATACATAATTTTAGATCACGAAAGTAAATGCAGCTATGTCATCCTTAACAATTCATTGCATGAGTGTTAATTATCAAAAGTATGTATAAAATTAAAATTGCTCAAAATTAAGAGCAAAGTAATGGAGTAATACAAACACTCACTCACACACACTCAAAATACTGTTTGTGTCTTTAAGTCAATTTCTCAATTGGACTCATTTTCTTTAATCAGGGAGAAAAGAAATCAACACAAAAATATGTACAAAATCCCACAGCTGAACTTTGCTCAATAATAGTTCTGAACCAAGAACACTATCATTACACCAGCAGACTGTGGTAGCTAGAATCAACAGTTGAGCCCATACTTGCCATTTAACCAGCACTGCATGATTGCTTTTTTTCCATCCTTCTATGATCATCTTAAACCATAAATATACTCCTAAAGGTGCCAATATAAAAAAGTTCCACTTAAAGCACTGTGCAAAGGCAATATGTGGCAACAATTTAATCTAATTTTATAATGTGCCAGGGAGACTTTACAGCAATTCCACTGTAGAACAACAAGCCTAACTAAACAAGACTTCCTTACCAAAATCACAAATCACAATGCAGAAGGAGGCCATTTAGCCCACTGTCTCTGCACTGGGCTTTCAAATGAGCATTACCTAGTGTCGATCTCCTTTCTTCTCATGTACTTATATTAAGTACTTTTTGGATAAAAATACGTCCTCAATTGAATTTGCCTCCACCACATTTCCAGCTAATGCATGTTATACCCTAACTACTCGGTGTGAAAACTGTTTTCCTTGTATCACCTTGCTGCTTTTGCAAATCCGAGTCCCCTCTTGCAAAAGAAACAAGAGGGAACAGTTTTCCCTATTTACCCAGTGCACTCATGATTGTGAAAACCAGCATCAGATCTCCTCTGAGCCGCCTTCTCTCCAAGGAGAACACTTCCAATTTCAAACTATTCTCACAGCTAAAGTTTATCATTCCTAGAACCATTCTTGTATATTGTTTCTGCAATCTCCCCAATGCATTCACATTGTTCCTAAGATTTGGTGCCCAGAGCTGTTCGCAATATTCCAGCTGAGATCTAACTAGAGACTTATACAAGTTCAACATCACTTCCTTACTCTTGTACTCTTCATCACTATTTATAAAACAGGACCACTGTATGTTTGCTGCTCTCTCTATATGTCCTGTCACCGTCAACGTCTGTGCAAATATACACCCAGATCCCGCTGTCCTCTACCCCAGCCCCTTAGAATTATACCCATGTTTTGCATGGATTTTCTTCCTATCAAAATGAATCACCTCACACTTCTCTGCATTGAAATTCACCTGCCACTGATCTGCCCATTCCACCAACTTGTCTATATCCTTTTGGAGTTCTACACTGAAATCCTCACTGTTTACAATTCTTCCAAGTTTCATGTCATCTGCAAACATTGAAATTATCACCTACACACCTAGACTAAGATCATTCATATCAATCAGTAAAAGCAAGGGACCTGGTGGACTCCTACAGAACTCCACTACAAACCATCCTCCAGCTTAAGCAATATCCATTGACCATTATTGTTAGTAAATCTTGTATTTATATTGCTACTAACCCTTTTATTCCATGACCTAAATTTTCCTCACAAGTCTGTTGGTTGGCATGGTATCAAACACCTTCTGAAAGTCCAGGTACAGCACATCAACCATGTTAGCATTGAGCCTCTGTTACTTCAGCAAGTTAAATATGATTTTCCCTACAGAAATCCATGCTGATTCTTTTTAAACAGCCAATCTTTTTCCGCGTTACTACTAATTCTACCCTGGATAAATATTTTTAGAAGCTTCCCCAATGATGTTAAACTGATTGGCCTGCTAGGCTTATCTGTATAACCTCTCGAGGGAGGTCAAAATGTTTGCAATTTCTCAGTCAAGGGAAGGCAGGAAGCTTCAAATTAATTAGAATGAGAGAATCTGTGCCCTAATAGTGAGACTTCTTGGTTGATTATACAAGAGACAGTTGCATTTAAGAATATAAACAGTTGGGAAGGACAAGATAATTACACGGAAGGAAAGTTCTCCCATATCCTCGCTCAGTTCCATTATTGTACTTGCTCATATGGTGTGTTAACTTTTTTCGAAAAAAGTTATGAGCAAGTACAAAATGGAACCAGACCACAATATGGATTATAGAGAAGGAGTTAGTCCCAATAAGGCGAATTTGAAACAATTCTGGAAATTACAGAATGAGTAGCTTACTCCACTTTTGATATTGGGCAATCCACAAAGAATTATTTTTAGAATATTAAACCCACTTTCAACCAGTCAAGTTATTGGAAAGGGGCCTAGCCACCTTGGTTTTTTCAGACCAAATTAATCTGTACATACTACAATAAAATTCATTCTTTAACTGATAATGCAAAAACTCAATACCAGAACAAGCTGGTTAGTGGTGTAGGTGAAAATGGCAGGGTGCATACAATCAGGTGTCCAGACAGCACATGTGCCCATCACCTAGAACAGCTCCATTGTTATTTTACCATGCAGGCTACATTCAATTGGCAGCCTTTCGGTGGTGGTGATTGTGGGAGATGGGGGGCATGTTTGCTATGAAGTGCTACTTGATAGCACTGTTGATGATCCCTTCCATCATTTTACTGATAATAATAAGTGAACTGATGTGTTTGTAATTGTTCAGATTGCATTTGTCCTGCTTGAGGCAGGACTTTCTCTCATATGGGAGAAGTCCCATCTGAGCCAATTGACTGAATCACAGGATCACAGAAGAGTAATGGCACAGGACACCACCATTCTGTCCATCATATCTGCAAGAGTCCTCAAGTAAGCATCATTACCTACTACTAATTTCCAACCCTTCCCCGCAATCCCCCACACCCCCATTTCCTTGCACGTTATTTCTGCTCAAATAAGCATCCAATTCTCTCTCAAATGCCTCAATGGAAACTACCCCCAACACAATTCGAAGTAGTGCCCGCCACATTCAGGTTGATAGCCAAAACAAAAATCAGCTTCAGATGATCCAGTCAAATGGTTTTAAACCAGGGTGGGGCACCAATGTATAAAATCCAACCCATGGTAGCTGAATTCGTTACCACAAAAGAAATAATCCTCTGCAAGAGCCATTGTTATGAAACAAGTCTTCTAAAAGCTGTTAAGCATTTTACATCACCATTTTTAAAACTTACACTTGGCATTCCTGTTCATCATCCACTTGAAAATGGTATGTTCTGTCATCTGTACGTTGACAAACGATGTATGCAAATTCAAAATTAAAACTATTAGAATCGAAGTGTAACAGATCAGAAATTCAGTTTTATATGCAGTTTTGAGTTCTGAAAGATGGACTTTATTTAAGTTAGATTAAAAGCAAATTCTAATGAGTACTGGATGCAGAAAATGTTGGATCAATTCAGTTTTATGGAAATTCTTCATTATAAAATTACTTGACACTTCTCTGAAGAACTAGCACTTTATTAATAACCTTAATGTACAAATCATCTCAAAAGTTACCCCATTCTCCAAAGAAACATTTTCTGCCATACCCATCTCTCATCCAGTTAAGCTTCCAGTGGTGTTTTCCCATCTCCACATTCATCCACTTTCTGCTTCCACCACCTGCTCTTTCCACATCTTTGTCCCCACCCCCTCACTCAACTTTTTTGATTTTCAAGCCTGTTTTGTCTGAATATTTTACTAGACTTCAAAACTTGAGTGGGTATTACTTTGGGAGATCAGCTAGTGTTTCAAGGTCAAGGTTCTCATGACTTTTAGGTTGGCAAAATATGTGGTTAATATTTAAGCATAAAAGTCTTCAATCAATTAATACATTAATGTCTTAACTCTTCAAACATGTAGTTTAAAGATGTACATTTATAATTCCCAAAATTTTCTGCACAGCTTTATTTTTGTGAACATCCTTTAAATCAAGTTCCACCTATGAAAATATTTTCCTTGGACCTGACGAACAAGTAATTCAATTAAGTTTAAAAACATACGTGATATTAGATCAAAACATTTCTTCTCCTCTGGATTTGCTTTCACCTGACATGTGAGTAGATTAAGCTTTGCTGGTGGTCTGTTAACCTATACGAAAAGCAGAAATGATTCAAAGTATAATGAGGCAATTTTACTAAAACAAATATTGCGCATGTTCATGTAAAGGTTGAGTTTTTCAAACTAAATATTTAGTCAGTCAACGAGTAGGGGTAGAGTTTTGGAGATGTTGAAATTTATCGCAGAGTTGCCAGATCAGCCAGCTCTGCTGCTAGAATTAGCGCAAAAGGAGCCAAAGGTATTTGCACAGACATGAGCACATGAATAGCCACCACCTTCAATGCTCTGCTCTTTCATGTTATTAAGTCAGCTTGCATCAGGGCAAATTTGACTTCAGCAGCATAACAAGCATTTATTTTCGATTACATTCAGTATTAAAATTATGCAAGGGCAACATCTTTTTTCGAATTGGTCGAGTTACCCGTTTCTGGCTGGTAATCAGTGAATATTCAGTTTACCTTTCTGTCTTTGAAGTAAAATCAGGGAAAATGCGCAGTTGTACAGGGTTAACTTTTTAAAACAATTGCATTCTTAACATGTAGAAGAATGTGGTATCAAATAATAATTTAAGACAAAATCCCTTAACGTTCATTTTTGTAACTTCAGAGACTTTGAGTCAAAGCTTACATGGGCAGAAAATACAGACTTCCATGGTATTACCAATACAACTGCATACATGCAGATGGATCACATTGCCATATTTGCACTGCGAATACACACTCAATTTCCAGTGTTAACTTTTACTACGCAAAAAATAAATCCAAGGAACTGCAATGCTGGAAATCAGAAACAAAAACATTTTGTGTTGAGTGACCCTTTTCCAGAATGATTCTGAAATGTTAACTCTACTTTCTCTCCACAGATGCTGCCAGACCTGCTGGGTTTTCCCAGCAATTTTCCATTTCTGTCTAAGTTTTACTGTGTCTGACATTTATTGACTTTCGTAATTGTGTAAATTAAAAAAGTGTTACATTACAGTCTGGAAATTTGAAATCTGGAAAAACCGGTTGTCTGGAAATATTTTCAACAAAGCACACAGCCAATAGACCTGCCATCATGGCACTGCAACCAGTAGTTCAACTGTGACCAGGCCTTTTGTTGCACAGGTCGGATTGATAACCAATAAGGAGGGAGATATTTACTTGTCTATAGTCCCGAGTTCTACTCAAAAGTATTTCCGGTGTTGCATTTTTTAAAAAAATATTTAAATGATTCAATTGAGGAAGTCATGAATTGCAGAGCGATACTAGAAAAGGCATGGCATGATGAACAGCTCCCATCTGATATAATAAAGGTCATGTTCTGTTGCTTGGAGGAATATAGCTGCTAAGATATTAACAGTGGTGACTGAAGTAATTCCAGAGGCTGGAATCCCATCAAGAAGTCGCCCTTTATTTACAGATGGAGAGCCCCTGACACTGATGCAGCTCCCTCAGAGTGAACAGAACCTCTGACACTCTTATTCTTATCTGTGCGCCAGGGTTCTCTGATTGGATCAGATTAACAGCCCGATCAGGGAATTAATATTCTATGGAGGTCCATCTGGCTGACCTCATTATTATCACTACATTCACACCACAATCTCCCCCCACCACAAACCCCCCTCTCCCCTAGTCTGAGGGCATAGGCCAGTTCTTTTTATTATAGCTCCTCCTGGGGTTTTGAAACCGGGTCAGGTTCCTTCAACTCTGCCTCCTATACGGGTGGCATTCAATGCACAGTAACTGCCCCCAGAGCATCGCTGCAGAAATTCATTCACTTCTTCAGGTGGCAAAGGTGCGAGGCAGTAACATTCGCCGTGTCCATCTCAGATTCCGAGGTATTTTCAACGCTTGATGGAGACGGAGAACCCATGGGTTCCACAACAATTAGAAAGGTTGTCAAGGAGCCGAGCACATTCTGTCCCCACTTCAGCCTTCATACGGTCCTTGAACTTGCTCAATATCGTTGCACCTACCTGAACTTTGTGTGTCTCTGAGCCTGACCTCGTGTTGACCATGCCTCTTACTCATGCAGGGCCATTCCTATAACCAACACAGCTATGTCTGCATCCAATCCTGGCCACCAGACATAACTTCTTGCCAACATCTTCATTTTGGAAACCCCTAAAATGACTCTAATGGAATTCAGCCAGTATCTGGCAGCCACCTTTGCTTGGGATAATCACTCTTGCTGCCCATAATATACTGTCCTCTACGGTGATCTGGCCTCTCTGGATTTAAAAAAGTTTAAATTCTGGTTGAGACAGTCCATAGGTTTTCTCCATCACCATCAGATATTTCAACCTTGCCATGATCTAATTTTTCTGCATTCAAGATTTGGCATTGTCAGCTGTGACTGGAAGAGTGTCCAGAAAATTTAAAACCATTACGGACTCTTCCAGTGGCATTACCACCAGTGGTGTATCTGCCACTGGCAGGTGGACCAATGCATCCAGATTTGCTACACAGCCTCCTGGTCTGTGTTCCAACTTGTAATCGTACGCACTTAGTATTAGACCTCACTGCTGCATTTGGCTTGAAGCTACGGGTGGCACTGCCTTATCCTGTAAGTTGACCGAGCAAGAGTTTGAGCTCCATTATTATTACAAATTTACATCTGTAAAGATATTGGTGGAACTTCCCGATTCCAGATATGACTGCCAAATCTTCCTTCTCTATCTGGGCGCATTTATGTTCTTCATTAGCCAAAGTTCTGGATGCACACGCTACTGGGCATTCTGCTCCACTGGGCCCTAATGAGCTAATACTACTCCAATGCCATGTGGGGAGGCATCGCATGTCAATATCAGACCTCACTTAGGATCAATGTGTGCCATTAGGATCATAGCTGTTTCTTCATTTTCCTGAAAACTATCGCTTGGATACGTGACCATTTCCAAGGCTGAGCTTCTTTTTTTAAAATAAAACAGTTGATGCAAAAGGTGCCAGCATGGAGACCAGGTTATATATGAACTTTGTGTAATAACTCACCAGCCCAAGGAAAGACCTAAGCTCTGATACAGACATGGCAGCTGGGGCAGCTATGATCACTGTCACTTTTAACTTCCAACGAGCGTAACCTTCTCATCAACTCTGTAGCCCATGTAGGTCACTTTGGGTGGTTGGAAAACACAATCTTTCCCTTCTAAGGCATACGGCCGCCTGGGAGAAACATCTAAGGACTATGTCTAAGTTCTCTGAGTGCTCCTTATTGGTCTTTCCTATTATTAGCACGTCAACGAGATAAATACTGACCTGGGTCAGACTTCGTAAAATGTTTTCCATCGTCCGCTGAAGAATCACACAGGCTGACAATACCCCAAATAGCAGTTTTGTATATTGGTGCAAACCCTTGTGGGTATTAATTGTAGCATACTTCGAGGAATCCTCATCTGACCGTAACTGCAAATACATGGCTCATGTCAGCTTCATGAAGGACAGATCCCTTCCTGCTTTGCACATAAATCCTCTCTGCGAGGATTGAGTATTTATCCAGCTGCAAAAAGCTGTTTACCGTTTATGTAAAGTGCCCACAACGGCAAACCAATGTGTCGGGCTTCAAAAGTCAATATGACCGGTGCTGCCCATTCTGCAAACTGGACTGGTTTGATGATTCCTTTGCTTTCCAGCCTTCTGATTTCTGCCCCTACTTTTGCCAGTAAGGCAAATATCACTTGGCAGGCCTTTGCAGAGTTGGTGAATTGCTTCCTTGTTAACATGCAAGGTAGCCTTGGCTCCTTTGATAATCCCTAGACATTCCCATGATTTCCAGGTATTTAATTGGGATTTCACTCAGGCAGCCATTTTCTAAAATATCGAGCCAATCTAGGTGAATCTTTCTCAACTAATTTCAGCCCATCAGGCTTGGGCCCAAGCCTTTTACTACAAAACAGTGGTAACTGAACCAGTTGCTTCTCATAAGAAATCAGAACCGAAGTTAAACTGTAAAAGGTTCCCTGGTATAGGTTCTCAGTTTATAAGAGGTCTTGTACAAACTTAAGGGTTAGACCCCAGAGCAAATTTTGTTAAAGACTGGCTCTCAGAAACGCCTGTGTTGGTATCAACCTCCATTAGAACCAGGTAACCATTTAACCAGAGACAACAAGGTGCAGGGCTGGATG